TTTTTATTTTATACATCAATAAAAAAAAGGAAATGCTAGGAACCACATTATTAAAAAAGAGGACATTTCCAGGGGCCTAACCCTAACCCTTTGCATAATTGTTTTATTTATGTGCTTAACTTTTAACTAATTTCTCTTGTGAAGCACTTTGAATTGCCTTCTACACAAATTGTGCTATACAAAGAAATTACTGATTGATTGATAGAATTCTTAATTTCGCTCAAAAAAATCATATCTCCCTCAAAAGGATTTTTTTCCTTCACAAGATTGTTCATTAAAAATCCAGCTTGTTTTCAAATGCATGGCTTGATTATATTGAAATCTATTGTAAAATGTGTAATACTGTATTAATGTCCACCACTAAATAAGTGTTTATTGATAGAATCCAAAACTTTACCTGGAAAGTGGCCCGGATCGCTCAAAAAACCTGTATGTATTGGGCTGTTTCCTTCGGCAGATACAAAAAGTCAAAATGACATTAAACCGGGGGACATAGTGGTTCTTTCATATTTTTAGGAGATATTTAGAAAATCTTTAGAAAATCTTACAGCATGTCAAAAAGAAGAAAAAGAAGCAACATACAAACCAAACTGATAGTGTCCGTGGAATTACCCTTAGGCCTGATTTGAATCTATGAATAGTGTCTTTGTTCATCATGGCACCTCTTTCTAACAAGTCACCAATGGACGGCTTTTAAAATGTGCCCCGCCCACACGTCAACCTCAAAGAAAGTCTGTGGGACGTCTAATAGCTGTGGTCCAGTTCAGCTTAATGAAGGCCTCTTGGTGAATACCTGATGTAATGACAATCCAATCCAAGTCTGGCCTGTGAACCATTAGCATCTGAAGAGGAGAAATATTACAAAGACAATGCATTATAATTATGTAACCATTTCCACAATCATAGCTTTGAGGAATTGGCAGAGAAAAGGCCAAACGAGTCTCTTTACAATTTATTGACATCTTTGTAGAAGAGGCTTTACGTTAAACACGGCAAAGCAAATGAACATGTTGGAGCCATTTCAAGTTGAAATTGTGTTTGCACAGCTCGCATTAGGTTAATCGCAGGAAGGGTCTATCAGAATTTTGAATGTCAAGTCTTAGATCTTTGTCATTACTTTGAAAATCACATTTGATTTTCAGATTAGTATCAACAAGCAAAACTGTGCCTTCAACGTGAATGACATCCAGAGCTGACATTTTGGACGTGAAATGTGGCCTTGTGTACAAAGCAATTTTCTATATGGTGGGGGTTGCCCAATCTTACTGTGATTTGCTTTCTTTTAGTTTAATAGTGTACAATTTATCCAGGATATCCAAGTTGTGGGAAATACTTGACATTTATCCAGAATATGTTTCCAAATATTGTTCAAACTGGAACACAGCAATATGAAAAATACTTTTGAAATCCTTTCTGATGGATACTTTTCAGTTATGCTTATTAGATAAACAGCATGGATTCCCCTCGTATTATTGCTCTCATTAATCAAAGGTTGCGTTGACTTTTATTTTACAATAATACTTCAAATACTAAAAAGTGATTTGTTTGTGGATTTCAATAACCGTTGGGAATGTCTTGAAAGACCATTTTTATAACAAGCACTTTTCAGTATTGGGGACTTTGACTAAAACTTGGCCTTTGGCTGAAGGAGGACAGGATATTTGCATTTGTCAAAAGTGATTTCACAGCTCATAAGAGGCTATCATTAAATATGATGTGCTCGAGTTTCCTTATGAAAGCTCGGTAACTCACAATCCAGGTCAACTGAGGCCACTCCAGGCATTTTCTGAGGAAATATGTAACGTCTTAAATCACAACCACAGTCTTATGTTCTGGTAATACTTTTTATTAGAGTTATGGAAGAGTGATTTCTCTATGGAGGGTTTCAGGTTTCAAGGGAAGGCACAAGGTCAGTCGTGAACATATTCAGTCATCTTGCTGTCAATCCGATTATATATGTCCATCTGATGAACATTATCATAAGTCTGAATATACTAACATTTACAATGCTGCACTGCTTACAATAAAGTGTATGAAGCCACAGCAGCATCTAGTGGCGAGAAGTAAAACTGCATTACCAACTTCACTATGCTGCTGTAAAATGAATTCGGTGCAGATAAAATGGTCAACAATAGACAACTCTTTGTTTGTTCTACAGTGAGAGCATGGCAGTGCAAAAACTAGACAGGACTCTTAAATCTGGGATACTTCATTGTCAATGTCATAAAAACCAAGCCTCTACAACAGTTTGATCACTAGTTTGCATATGCATGTAGTTTTGGCCTGTTATATGTTTAGATGTGCTTTTTCAGACATAAAGTGAAATACAAAGGACCAACCGCACAAAGCCAATCAACTATCAGCCTACAGAGTCAAATAGTGACTCACAGGGCTCTTTCATACAAATATGGAAAAGTGTTGTAATGAGATGAGGACAGCACGCGACAATCAGATTTGTTCATAAAAATGTTCTCTTTCTGTTGGGATGAACGGCATGCATTATTTCATTATTACAAAAACAGTGAATTACCCCATCTTTAAATGAATGACGCAATTTCTAACAGTACAGACACTATGCAAGACGTGATTAATACCAATTCACATGTAACCGAGAAATGCACAGTTAAAGCACCAGTGTCTGAAGAGAAGAGAGGTATCCTGTAATCCTGGTGAGAGAAGGTGAAGGCAGAGCGTGGGACAGATCATGTGATCACTGTGGGGGCAGTGCGTCCGGTCCTCTCTTGAAGCTGAGACACTTTCAAGGCAATGTCCACCAGAGGAGCCAGCATCACCTGCACAGAGGCATCACCAGAACATTAGAAAACCATTTATATTTATAACCTGATAAGTTCCTTATGATGTTCTGTCCAATAATATGACCTAGTAAGTGACCATTTACAATATAGTCTGATCATATTGACGCGCTATTGTTCTACGGATCATTTATTCATGAGATACGAGTATACAGATAATTCACTAGGGTCGGAGTTAGGGTCACATTTGCGCCAAATAGCAAAAGCATTTTACATTATGGCACAGTAATAATGCCATAATATTACTGTGAAATTTTGTGAAATAATTTCAAAACGACATACTAATTTCCTTGACATTTCCAGGTAATCGATTAGTAGGAGGTGAAGATGGTATGGTAATACTTTTAGCAAAGAAATACTTACTAAATTTTCTTTGTAATGGTTTAAGTTTTAATCTTATCAGCAAATCCTTGGTTTATAAAAATATGAAGAGGGTTTTCCAATCACTAATTTACTTTGCACAAAGACATTTGTTTCAATGCTGAATAAGTTCTTCTGTGAACTTCTCTTTTAGAGAAGTGAGTCCCAAGCTGCAGTACTTAAGAAAAGGGGGACTTTCCTGGTTAATTAAAAGGTCAATAATAATAATATGTGATGCGATCTGGGAAAACCCGTCATTTTTTTGGCTAAATTGTGTTAATTCCTGAAAATATCTAGGTGACATCCTCCGCTCTGACCCCGGGAGCAGCTGCGGCCGCTTTGTGACAGCTGCTTTGACAGCTCAGTGAACGCACAGCCATCTGGGCTCTGAGCGCGGACCATAGACACGCAAACAGGACCATAGACACGCGGACAGAACCCATACACGCGGATTATAGACACTCTGACAGGACCACAGACAGAACCATTGACACGCGTTCAGACAATCCCCAGCTTGTTGCAAGTGGGTCTCCCCCGTGTCTCCTATGCGCTCACGAAATCAAAGCTTGGGTACCTAATTTTCTCCTTGCATTAAAAATGCTTGGTGGTTGTGGATATTTATACTGCATAATTGGATAGAATAAAACTGGCATTGTCTAATTCATATATAATGTTCAGTAACTTATAAAGAGAAAGAAACTAAAAAAAGAACAAATTCAATTCATTGAATTTTGAAATCATTCTTGATTTTCATCTTATTCATGAGTGTTGTCTGTTTAATTGGTGCCAAAGTAACATTTTTACTTTTTACAACATAGTGACTAAATTAAGTGTGTGCCATAAGCGAGTAATTAATATTAAACATGTTCCATTTGATTGTGGTGATTCTGTTTAGAATGTCTAACTTTAAACCTGTTTTTCTCAGAATTCTGTTTCATAAAACCTTGTTAACACGCTGACTTCAGATAATGATAACTTTTGTTACAGACCTGCTATGAAAAAAAGGAAAACAGATTTGAAAAGAGATTGAAAGCAGCTTTAAGATTGTGTCAGAATCTTAAATTGGTCAAATTTCACCATGTGATGGGTTTTCCCAGATCGCATCACATATTAATATATAATTCTGGGTGTAGTTGAAATATGTTTCATGGACACATACAGGAGATATTAAATGACTTCAGGTCACTCATCGCTGTGTGGACGTAGCTAGATTACATTCCTCTTGATTGGCCTGACCTGTGGGTCTTGGTAAATCTTCTGGGGGTCCTTCTCGTAGCTATCAATATAGAGCCGGATAGTGGCCCCTGCGCTGCCTGTACCGCTGAGACGAAAGATAATCCTTGAACCGTCAGAGAAGATGATCCTGAGGCCCTGTGAGAAGCAGATGAGTGAATGAGATGAATAAAGTAAAACACATTGGCCTGCTGCAGCTGGAGTGAGTAGTGCGGCATGATGGATTACAAGTTACTGAACATTATTTGTAAAGGCACTTGTAGAAATTTACTGTAGTCTTTTTAAATGTTAGCTTCACTCTTTATAATGTACTGTGATTAATGATTTGTGATTGGGTCATGTTCTGTTTAGCACTTTAGCATTGCCGTGTGTATGAACTGTGCCATACAAATAAACTTGCCTTGCCTAAATGGCCATGATTTCAATACAAAAGTTGCGTTTAACATTTGACAAATATATTTATATGCGTCCATGACTCAGTGATCTGGTATCAATTTCACATTCCTCATACCTGGTTTTTGGACACACTTCCATCCACAGGATCTGTGTAGGCGAAGTTGTCTGCGATTGCCACGTCATATGTTTTATCTCCTGCGGAGAACTTTTTTCCAATATAGGCGGGGTCCATCATGGCTGTTTCCAGATCCTTCATCATCTTGTTTGCACCATCAGATTCCACCTCCTCATAATCATACCTGAACACAGTTGAACAAACCCGTTAAGTGCATAGAAAGGCCACTAGAGGGCAACAGAGAGCCAAGTTAAAAAAACAGACCTTGTGAAGAAATTTCTACCAAACTTCTGCCAATGATCCTTCATGATGTCCTCAACACTCTGTTTTCTCGTGGCTAAAATTGACAACCAGGCAAGCACTGCCCAGAGACCATCCTTCTCCCGAATATGATCCGAGCCTTTATTTATAAAACACACAAAAAATATGAATGCAGACATTTTAATTACGCATTATAATTGGGCATTATAAAATGAGCCAGAAACTCACCCGTTCCAAAGCTCTCCTCCCCACAGAGGGAAAGTTTTCCAGCATCCATCAAATTACCAAAGAACTTCCAGCCTGTTGGAGTCTCGTATAGCTGCATCTTCATAGCTTTTGCCACACTAAAAGACCCAAATATGTTTATCCAAATGTACCAATAGGTGATAAAAATGATTGTTTGAATAGTTTATCATTACTTGTCAAGGGCTCCACTTGTTGGCATACTACGGGCCAAGCCTTTAACCCCAGTCTTCTGGAAATAAGGGATACTCATAATGTTGGCAGCAATTGCAGCAACAGAGTCCGACGGGTTCACAAAAAATCCATGTTTACCAAGCACCATGTTACGGTCCTGAATAAAGCATGACATAATATGAGTCAGATTAGATTGTTTGACTGAGAACACAAATATGATTGAATATGTTTTAACTTACACCATCGCCATCAAATGCAGCCCCAAAGTCATATTCTCCTCCTTTCATTGTGTTTACTAAATCCGCAGCATAGGTCAGGTTAGGGTCAGGGTGGTGGCCTCCAAAGTCTTCTTGAGGAACACAGTTGACAGCAGAATTGGCAGGAGAACCCAGCTCTTCACAGACTATTTTCTTTACATATGGGCCAACCACTGAAGGAGAGGAGAAACCAAGATGCATTCTTTAATCTCAGTATATCTGAGAAAATACTTGACAAACTATGTTCAATACCTCCATGCATTGCATCAAGACGAACATTGATGTGGTTAGGTCCTGAGAGAAGCTCCTTCAGCGCAGCAAAGTCAAAAATTCCTCTCAGCATCTCTGCATAAGCGTCAACAGAGTCCACAATCTCGACTACAATTAAGAAGTTATGGAAAAAAATAGGTTATTCAATTATTGAACATTCGCATTGGTCTTTCTCATTTGACATTAATTGTGGTGCTCAGAAATTATACCTGTAAAAGGTTTGAAGGTGTCAACTTCAAATGTCTGTTTTCCAATTTGTGAAATATCTACTTTCAACTCTGGACAGATGTAGTACTCCTGGAGGCTTTTGCTGATGTCAAAGATTTTGTTTGTAATACCTTCAGGAGCAGGGCCTGTGGGAAAAATAGAGAATAGAGTCAGATTTTTCCAAAAGTGTTGTTCAAACACAACTATTGTGCAATAATACTTGCCTCCACTTGAGATGTTGTACTTGATTCCAAAGTCCCCATTAGGTCCTCCGGGGTTGTGACTAGCTGTGAGGATAATCCCTCCCACTGCATTCATCTTGCGGATCACACAAGAGACAGCTGGAGTCGACATAATGCCATTCTGACCAATCACCAGGCGTCCAATCTGAGAAGGAGAACGCAGTCTAAACAACAAGTCTGTACAGGAGGTGTCGCCAACCTTTTTCACCCAGAGAGCTACTTTCCTGGGACGATAAAGGCAGAGAGCAACTTCTTTAAGCAAACCCTGGGAAAACATTTGGTGATATATTGGTGTGAACAAGCCTGATATTGGGTACAGTCATTATTTATCATCACATATTTGTTACTAGTGCGCAAAGTAAGTGCATTGTCAATAATAAATAATGATAAATAATAATTCAATCTGAAATAAGAAGTATATTATTTGATTTGCTCATTTCTAAATCCTTTGGTGAGCTACCTGGAAGGGGGTGGCATGCTACTGGTGGCTCCCAAGCTACAGGTTGGAGAACCCTGCTGTACAGGGTTACAACACATTTTGCTAATGAATAGATCTTCAGATTGTCAACATATAGACATATTCTTTTCTACATTATACTTGGACGAGCAGTATCCAATGCTACCACTACACTACCACAGACATGCAGCACAACGTGACCAAGGGCACGTTTCGAGACGCGCCCCCTCTTGGTCGCATCCCTCCACACTGAACATTATGAAACAAGTCTGACTGTATAAAAAGAGGCATCATGCGTAAAGATGTATAGATAACACATTAATTAAAGTTGAGCAACTATTTAAAATGTCAATGGATGACCTCCCTCTCCCACTCTGCTGACCTTTGCACAGAGCACCAGCAACAGAGTGGTCATACTGGCCAAAACTATTTAAAAAAATTAATAAAATATATGTGCAAAGAGACCAAAAGGTCAAGTAAAAATATTTCACAATTTCAAGATTCCGGACCAAACAATCCTTTAGACATGACACGTTAAATCTGGTATCAAAATGTGCCCTTGATTATAAGTATTAGCTCAAAATAGACCAGTTAGCATGTAGCATTTGGTCAAGTTGCATGTTAGCAATCATTAAAAAACAACGTGTAGCGCATTTATAATCGTGTAACACCAGTATAATTTGCAAAAAGGTGTGAAATCATAAAAAACTTGGTTGGAAGCCTGACTTGCTAAAACAAATGCATGTGTAACGCAGAGCTAAAGTGAACCGCTAGCAAAGCACGGGGAGCTTCCCTGTGATAACATAATAACATACCCCATTGCCTGCTGCGATCTGTACTATCAGCCGAATTGCATCTTTCATGAAATATCTTCCATCTCCTCCCACAACCACAGTAGCAGCCTGTCGCTCCGAGGGCTCGATGACTGAAATGATGCTTTGAATGAAGTTTTCCGCATAGTTTTGGTTTTGTTGGAAGACAGTGACCCTTTTCCTTAGCCCGCTGGTGCCTGGTTTCTGGTCCGTGTACGGCTTGGTCTGCACTGTGGTTATCTTCACCATTTTTGAGCCAAGTTTTGAGCCCACCCTATGACCTGTCTGCAAGCCTGATGCAAGTAGGAAAAGAGTCCGCAGTGTGAAGCATGGACGGGGATCAGCAACGCCCCCTAAAGGCCACGCCCACTAGGGTTAAAGGGGCATGTTAAAATGTGCTGTAATGCGCTTGACATCGTGTTATAATGGTGTTTCCCCATTCAAAACTATACACTGTGACGTTTAGTAATCGTTCTTCAAAGATAGTAGTGTATGCAATATAATATAACAATGAATAAATATGGACATAATCTGAGTAGTTTTCAGTCATTTTTGTAATTTGAGTAAATAGTACCTCAATCGTTGAGTGACGAACTATTGCATGTTTCATCTACATTTCGAAATTCCATCATTCAGAAGGAAACGTTTGTGAAAGACACCACATTAGCAAATTCATAAAACCTGTGCCACTCATCGGTGGGTGTAGCTCGCCGTGATCGTATAGTGGTTAGTACTCTGCGTTGTGGCCGCAGCAACCCCGGTTCGAATCCGGGTCACGGCATCCCACTACTTGTTTTCGCACAATAGAGTTACCCACCTTCAGGAGTCTTCATCAGGCTACAATAACTTCAACACATCAATTTCCTATAAATTGTGTACTTTACATGTTACATTAAATTATCTGATTTTATGTACTCAAGAAAAAGTACCCAAGTACCAAGATTCTGTACCCAAGTAAAAGCAGGATCACCTCTCATACAACTACTAACGTTGGCCTTCATAGAGATGACAAAGAGCAGCGTTCTAGAACTGAAAGTAAATCGTAAAGTTTGAAATAATGAAAAATGCATTACAACTATCTACTCTAATAAATAAATTTTTTATTGAAGTTACATTTTACAAGTAGAAAACATGATAAACTGGGATGACAAGCTAAAATCCTAAAGTAAAGTCAAAACACTTGGACCAAGTAAGAGTGTGAGATGACTTCTGTTGTGATTTAGGGCTATACAAGAATAAATGGTATTGTATTGTAAGTACCAGTTTGGAAACCATTGGCACATAGATTTAACATGTGGGTATCGAGCAGACAAAAATATATGAACAATGTTATGAAATGGCACAAAACCATACATATTTGCTCATTGCATCACATTGTTTGGTTTAGCTTGAGCAAAGTTCAAATATGTTGAGAAATGTCCACTGTGTTTATTGACTACTTAAATCAGTGATTGAAACAATAAACACTTTTTTACTAATGATGTTAATGCAAAATAACAAAACAAAGCATATAATTTGTATTAAGGCCTGTCTATATATCAACTGAAAATACCAAGCTTGGTAATTGACCAAGAAAAGTTGCCTCATAAGCCAATTTCTCAACATCAGATTGAACTGCCTCATCCCCAAAGAACTTCGACATTAAAAATACCAAGGCCTTACACCATGTGACATTTAGCTGGTGTGCTCTACTGTTTCAGCAGAGAAAGTCAAAGGGCAAATAATGGCCTGGGAGATATAAATAGTAGGGCAGGACTTCTCTCTACAGCAAAGGGCAATAAAGTTTAGACCAAAGTGCAATGGAGGCATGCAGTCTAATTTATATAAATAGCACACAGGTAAAATTGAGTATCAGTAAAATAAATACTGTGAGTCAAACATATAAGACACAATGTAGCTGCCCAAATTACAGGAGAACATCATTTTGCTTGTAATGGCCGGTTATCTTCACAAGTATTAGAATGTTGGCAGACAAGGTTTATGATGCTTTAGATTGGTTTAACGATCAAATTAAATAGTTTAGCATCAAAACAATTTACTGGTTACTAGGTATTATACTTTCTATACAGCTGTACATCCAGTCCTGTTTTTCATTAAGAGGAAGAACGTGCTGGCAAACCTAAAAATAAACAGATATGAAAATAAAGTGGGTAAACTTGATGGATATTGCAAAACGTTGTAAAATAGTATTTGAATACAAACCATTTGTCCGTGAGCAGATATTTCAACAGCAAAAACAGTCATGTCCCGACTATTGCAGCAGTTCCTGCTTTGTTCATTGTTGACACGAACGGTCACTTTCTGGTTGGTCTGAAAAGCAAACACTATGAACATTGACTCGTGACAACATAATCAACGTTATAACAAATAAAGGAGTGTTTATCCTTTTCAAAAATGTATTCAATGCAATATTGGATACATTTATTGCTGATTGTCACAAAATGAGCTGTACCTTATTGAGAATGTAGGAGGAAATCCTGTGCTCTCCTTTGTATGTATAAATCAAAACATTGTCATTCCCTCGCAGAGACTTGACCAGCGATTTTCCAATGATGGACTTGTGAATAGCTTGTTGAAGAAGACTAGTCCCTGAGTCCAGACAGATCGGGTGCACCAGTGGCTTTGCACTTTCACAGAAAATATCGATTTTGAATGGGCACGCCTGAAATAAATAAAAAATGGCACTAAAAATATTACCGGTATATAAACAAACAAAAAAAGAGCAAAACTTTCTCCAAATATTCACCTCTAGAAGCTCAAGCTGATGGTTGTATCCCATTGCTTGAAGGGTTACCCACAAGTCAGTCGAGTCCCCATCTTTTTCTGTAGCCTCCATTAAAGTTAGCTCCATAAACCCCTGCCTTGATAGCTGATTGCTTCTCATATCAAAGTTTTCTGTAAACATAGCAACATATTTATTTATGACTTATTATCATTATTATTTATACACACACTCACACATACACGCTTGAATGAATACCTTTGCAGACCGACCAGGCATCTTTGTCACATTTTTCCCCACTGCTTCTGAGCTCAAAGAAATTGTATTCATCCAGACTGAGCAAACCGTTGCCATCTAGGTCTATTAAGTCAAAGATGTCACACAGCACCTCCCTGTGGCAGAGAAAACAACACAGGCTTAGAATGGTTTCAGATTTCAGAATGTTGTCATTTTATTGAGAACCAGTCAGAAAACAATCGCAATTTTTATGTTTTTTAAACTACACAAACCTGAGTTCTCGAGACAGATCAAGTTCTCCTGTGTCAGTCCTGTACACAAGGGCTTTGGGTTTATCACTTGTTTTCTTGTTGCTCTTCTTAAACTTACAGCCAGTGGTGAATGGGAGCAAGTAGTAAGTCCCTGCCTTCAGCTCTCCTCTCCAAACATACTTCTGTAAAAGATTTATTAAATTCAGCAAACAAAACTCGAATAATGCAAAGATTTTATCCCAAACCTCTTTGTCTTTAGATTCAGTAAAACAAACTAAAGTTGAGTCCCCCTCGATTTCACAAGTTGTCATGACAAAAATAGCTGTGTCTGTTGACATCCAATCAGACTTGTCTGAAAATACAAAATACATCAGATAAAATACTAGTATAATAGTTGATAAAAACTTATAAGAAATGGATCATCATTTCATGATTTCAATCATGATTTCATAGTAATATCCATCCATCCATCCATCCATTTTCTACCCTTTAATCCATTTCTGGGTCAGGGGGGTGTCAATCAGAGATGCCACCCAACCAGCCCCTCACTGACCCTCTGCAGGTGGTAAATATGGACATAATAGTAGTAGTTTTCAGCTAGTGTGAGCATAGCCTTGATCTTTCAATGGGGGGCTTTGGGCAAAGTGGGGTTAAGTGTCTTGCCCAAGGACACAACAACAGCAGTCATCAGTAGGAGTCAGTGGAGAAGTTGCAGAGGTGGGAATTGAACCCACGACCTTCTGGCCTCAAGGCCAATGCTCTACCAACCGAGCTACTGTCGCCCTATATTGATCGCTTGTATATTGGTGACAAATACAGAGAAAAGCAGGTACCATAAATCCCAGTTATGTCACACACAGGACTATTGAATGGAAGAGAATGTCTAAAGACTACCATATTTAACTACTAAAATCATCCTTCCTTCCCCTCCTACTTGTTTCTTTGTCTTTTGGCAATACACTTTAGTATAACATAAAACTTATCTCCATGGAGATTGTTAGAACTTTTTTTGAATCAACCTTTTTCCATGGGATGATGAAAGTTACACAGTGCTCTTTTAAATGATGGCGACTACCTTCGGTTCGGCTACGGAGGGTGACTGGTTGAATGGTCAGGTAGACTTCTGTAGTTCTGGGGATGTGGAGCTGGTATTGTAGAGAAGTGATATTCCCATCCTCTTCCACAAAAAAACAGCCCTTGGCAAAAGTATGTTGCCAGTTCTGAAAAATGATCATAGTATTTAAATTCCTTGAGAAAATACAAAGACAGGTAACAATCCAAACACTGAGAAAATGTCATCTCGTAATTGGTAACTGTTTAGATTAGCAACAAGTACACTGCTGTTATAATAATGTTCGTCCACAGGGAGGCAGCAGTGTTCCATTACATGTCAACTGTGAGCGAATAAAATGTCCCCCAAAAATCGATGTGGCAAATTGGAGTGCCTTTAAGTTCGATATTTAGACACAATATTGTGGCCATGGACATTCAATGGTAGCAAGAGAATACTCATAAAATATGTACACTTATTTGTTCCCATTTCTTCATCGAGCAAGTGAAATAAGGTCGTACTTAGGAAATGTACAGGAACATCAAAACATAAAAATCCCCTCTTTTCTTTGGAGACACATTAAAAGTAAACACAGTCCATGTGGTTGTGCTGTGAATGGTCATAGAGGACCAGGGACGTCTGAAATGGGTAATAATTCCTTTTTGTGGACAAATAAATCACTAAGTTAAACAAAGAAAGAAAGAGCCATAAAGATGGAGCATGCCACACCTTAGGAGGGAGTCCATTTTCTCACATTATTTATTGTAGGCTGTGAGAGGCATACAAGATCAAACCATAACACTTCAGTGGTTTGTCCAGACAATATTAAATGAGGAAAATTGCCATGGGCACCTATTTAGTTCTTTAAAACATCAGAATTAATGTCCCCACAGAGAGAGGGTCAGCTGGCAGAGTAATACAGCCACTGTCACTTGCTCTGACCACAAACTTGATTTAGGGTTACACAGCGGGAAAGGACAAACTACGTAACAACCAAAACAACAAAACATGTAGTCAAAACAACATGTATAAAATATATTAAATTATTGACATCTTTTAAATATACATATTTTTTGCGTGAAATCCCAAATCAAAAGCAAGTTAAAACCAAAAACAAATATTTATAGATATATAAGTATAAGAAAGACCCACATCCTCGGTGCAGCAACAAAACACTGCAAACCCCCACCACCCCAGCCCAATTATCGGCCTCTGGCAATAAAACAACCGATAGAGTGAAGTGAAGTTCCCGCGGAGGTAATCTCTGGACACACATTTCTTACAGCATTGATGTCTAGCCCTTTCCAATCTCAACAGTGAGCTCAGGCCAGAGAGATGGGGCAGTTATTGCAATTTATTTATGTACTTTTCTTCTTGAAGTAAAAAAAACAGCTGAGGCTAAGCCAAAAAGAGTGAAAACAAAACACAGGAATCAATAGCATGTGCCTGTTCATCCACAGTTAAATTGAAATAACAAATTATATGCATTCGCTTTGTGTCTCTGGGTAAGCGGCACGGTGGCTGAGTGGATAGCACTCTCGCCTCTCAGCAAGAAGGTTATGGGTTTGAATCCCGGTCGGACCAGGGCCTTTCTGAATGGAGTTTGCATGTTCTCCCTGTGTCTGCGTAGGTTTCCTCCAGGTACTCCGGTTTCCCCTACCACTAAAAATATATACAATAGTTCTGGCATGTGCCTCCTGTACTGGCGACCCCGCTCCCATCTCTGTGTGGAGTGAGAGGACAAATGCCCAAAAAATTACAATTGTAAACCACTTTGTGACTCTGTCTGTGAAAGGCAGTATATAAATAAAGATGATTTACTATGTGTATTAGGTCTATGGGGAGCAGACCTCAAGTTTATGTCAGGCTCAACACATTCTAATTGTGTGTTATCTTTATTTATGTGCCACCTTTCACAGACCAGAGTCACACAGAGATGGGAGTAGAGTATGCGCCAGTACAGGAGGTGCATGCTCGGGCTATTGTACACCGACGCAGACACGGGGAGAACATGCAGACTCCACTCAGAAAGGCCCAGTTCCGACCAGGATTTGAACCCAGGACCTTCTTGCTGAGAAGCGAGAGTGCTATCCACTCAGCCACCGTGCTGCCCGTGGTTGCGGGTGTGGGTGTGTGTGTGTGTGTGTGTGTAGACTGCAGTATCCATCTACTTTAGAGGACAAAGCAGAAAAGATTCAGCAATTTATCACAGAATGAAATAGATTGGATTATCAACTGTAGATAAAGACTCAGTCAAGTCAGTAGAATGAATTGTGAGGTGAACGATCATTTCTTCCATAATATATTTAGTAATTGTCCAAAACCTTTAGTCCTTGTTGATAACGCGAGTTAAGTCGGAATGCGTGCAAGATGTACCAAATGCAGCATGAATGTTAGGTAGGAGCTTACCTGTAAACCTGGAGGCTCTGGTACTTTGCTGATCCTAGAGTTGCTGGCAGTCATAGTGATTACATTAGACAAAGAAGATCGTCTGCTACGAGCTGAAGAGGGGCGAGATGAGGATCTGCTTTCTGTAAAAAAAACATTCAAATAAAAACAATAGGGTGTTCCAAAATATATTATCATGATTATAATAAGTCATTTTGGCAAAACTATAATATCATGATTATAATAATAAGTAATTTGGTCTGGGAATTAGGGTCCCTCCCAATTTGAAATACGGTCTAACCATCATGTAAGTAAGTAAATAAATAACAGATAGTATGAGACAAATGTACAAAAATAAAACAATATCTGTCCCAGAAGGAAAGGGAATATATAGTGTGATTATAGAGCGAGTGACAGATGACCACGAAACAGCAGGACCAAAATATTATTGAAACTTTAATTTGTCTTCACAAAAATCTATTTCCACAATCAAGTAAAGTTGTCTCCCTTGCAATTGGGCAACACAAGCATGTGATCCAAAGCTGAAACCGTCTCTAATTAATTAGGGAGCCTTTTTCAAATTACAAATGGCATAACAGCACCAATTCAAATGTCTCATTTTGCGAAACCTTTTCTCTCCCTTCTTTTGAGCACTAATTGAAGCCAGAAAATGTCAATTCACTAATGAGGTGCTATAATTATTTTCATGCTTGGAAAATCATGATGCAAAGTAATGCATTGTACCTTCAAGCAAATGAGAAAAATAAATCGACTGCAATGCTATTTGTTATAGATCCACTTTGTAATTACTTCTGTCCTTTTGTCATTTCAATAATCCAAATGATATCTTTGGTTCAGTGTGAGATATGTAGATGTTTACTTCCCAAAATATATCTTGTAATGTATGACAGATGGGCCGAGAAACCATTGAACTTGGGGCGTCTCGTGTCAGCTTCTTGTTAAAATGTACTAAGAACAAATCAATACAACGAAGAGGCAAATAATGTGATAATCCCGACTAGTATGTGGGAGCTCATTTGTTTTTGCAGTGGTGGTCGTCGGGACACTCCTCTCCAACACCTCCTAATCCCTCATCATCTCCCCAGTGAGAAGTGGTGGAATCCTCCGAATCAATAACGCGAACATGAACTGACCACTTAAATCAACCCCATTTGTCTTCCTACTCTTGCCTGTCTCTGGCTTACACGTCTGAGATTCCAGACCCTTTCCTTTTCTGCACATATTGCTTTTGTGGGAAAAGTGCAACATGGATTTTCATATCCACTTTCCATGTGATAGGTTGGTAAACAAGTGGATAGCGATGCTGTCAGTGCTGTATAAACTGCTTTACTTGTTAGATAGGGGACAATCTATAGTCCGTCACACCATGGACAACATATTTACCAGCGCAGACAGATCTTTTGTCAATCTATTGAAGGCAGAAATGCTTTAAAGGTCCCTCCCTCCAAACAAGCAGGTCTAATTGTGTGGCTATTATGATGTATGGTCTGTCTAAATGAGGCGATTTGTCAGAGCCGAGAAACGGGGGAAAAAATCAATCAATAACAGAGCAATTATTTATTCATCTAAACTAATCAGTGAAGTGTTAGGAGGTCTTTGCTGTTTTCTGTGGCTGAGCACCTGGAAATGCGCCATTACACACTAGCTAAGTTGAAGAACAATGAACATTTCACATGCATGATATGTTTGGAATTTTGGTATGTTGAAACTATATAGTATTTGTGCTATATGAGCATTTCCAAAATATGTTTGAATGTATAAAACATACTTTTTGAGAAATTAAGATTCCACATAATGAATGTGTTAAACTTGACTCCAAAAAGATAAGCATATGATGCTATCTGGTATCTAAAAGTAGAAATTGGACAAGCTCACACAAAAATGTCCACAGAATTCTGCACACAGAGAACATGATCTCATGAGTTTGCACAGGACAAAATGTTGTGTCCAAAATAGATGCAATTTATAATAACTATCTCATTATCATATTTTCTTACAGTTAGAGTTTAATACTAATCTCCATACATATTTATCATTTTAAATCATTAGTCAATGAATGCAACATTATTGACAATATTAATGGCGACTATTTTCTTGCCGATAAAAATAACACAAAATGTGTCATTAATTAATTATTTCAAACCTTTCATGTATATGAAACAAAACATTTTTTTATAGTAGGGTAGACTATAGTAGAGAAGTTTAACTCTAAAAAGCATTTAATTTAACCTGAAATCACATCAAATATTAAATAAAATCAAATAAAATTTTAGAACTGTTCTTGTGGATCCAATCTCATGTCTGAAGGTAAGTAAGTAATCTTTATTTATATAGTGCCTTTCACAGACCAGGGTCACAAAGTGCTTTACAATTTGTGGGCATTATTCTCTCACTCCATACAGAGATGGAACCTATTGTAAATGTTTTCAGTGGAAGCCTACACAGACATGGGGAGAACATGCAAACTCCACTCAGAAAGGCCACTCAGCTGCCGTGCCGTCCATGAATGTGAGTAAATACCTTTCTTAGCCGTGCTGTCTACATCTGAGCGGGAAGATTCCATTGCCGGACTTTCTGTCGATGGGGCAGGTTCTTTTGAGTTCTTAGGAGGGCTGTAGAACTGACTGCCGAAGTTCTGTTTCTTTAACTTGGAATCAGCTTCAAGTCTCTCCAGAGCAGCCATCTGACACTGACCCACTGTAGAGACAAACAATCTGCAGAACTGAAAAAGGAAAGTACATATTTAACCAATGATCAATGAACATAGTATGAATGTTTTGCATTACCTCTGTGTAGTCCAGTTTTCCATCTTTGTTGACATCAGCTAATGCAAATATGGCTTTGATCTCATCAGAAGTCATTTTCTCACCTCCCTGCATGAGCCATATTGTTAACAGTGGAAACTATAGTCACATGTAGTGATTTAAAATTTTACTCACATTTGAAAGAACCTTTTCCAACGCACTGTGATTTATATAACCATCACGATTTGTGTCAAGTTTTCTGAAAGCTTTCAGTAGGTCATTTTCATCTGTCTTCTTCTCATTTTTCAAAATTTCACAGAAGTCATCAAAGTTGAGTTTAGATGTTCCTGCAGTCCAGTATTTATTAAGACAAGCCTGAGAAGGATTTCTACCAGCTTGCTGTAAAACTAGAGAAAACATAGCTAAAATTAGATGCAGCACAAACCATTATTTTGTGTCTGTTGTCTTTATGTTTGTGTAACTTTGAACTTTTTGTGAACTATCACCTATTTTTAATATAAATTACAGTTTTATACTAGAAAAGCTGTCTTCATTGTGGATAAGTTAGAAAATATGAAATTCACAGGTAGTAGAGCAGAGGTTTAATACAATTACTGAGCCCATTTGAAGACCTACAGTGTGCAAAAACAACAGATTGATTAATTGTGATCTGACCTTTTCTCAATTTTGATTGAGAGACACAAATTATGAGACTTGAGGAGGACTTGTTTATTCTTCTAAACTCAATGTTTTGGTGAAAAAAAACCGTTTTATATACATCTTACCGTTACCGTATGTCACTATACGGAATTTTGAAAAAATGACAAAGATTCAATCAAAAATTGAGATTGATAATTATGATCAATATTGTAAAAAGTTGCATGTCTCTGCACTTTTTGCACAGTAATTTCACTAACGTTTATTGCACATAATATATGTTGCACAAAAGATATTAGCTATATTTTTACATGTTTGCACATTTCCTGTCTTTGCACACCCTGAGTGATTCTATCTATTATGAGAAGAATAAAGTTTATCTTATCTTATCGTGATGGTAAGCTAGTGTCTCAGCAATTATTTGGTGGATCAAAAACATTTATCATTACATGATAAATGTAAGTAGCGTTAGTTAGCATTGCATCTGAGCACATGCATAACTATCTTTAATGATAGCATTACTTTACTTTAGCTAGTATCTACGTCAGCATTAGTTAATATCCAGCATCTTACCACAGCAAAGCTGCTGTTTTGAAGATATGTTCGCCAGACTAGATTTGAAGACTGACAGGTATGCAGCTCTACATTGTCTGTAAAAAGACTCATCTTCTCTTGTCGAACGTGGAAACTCTGGAAACGACATCCTGAAGCTAACAGTGCTGTTCACTTGCTATATACCGCCGTGAAACGTACTAAATAGACCACTATAACGATAAGATCACATATCCATTCGTTACTGTTGTCCAAAAGCGATCTTAGCCCTACCATTCAAACGAAGAGGATAACGTTGCTAACCACCGCCCGTTGCTAGGTAAACAAAAAGTGTGCACCCGACAAAACGGCTCCCATGAACTAGCTTCTTCTGCTAGTGCCTAATCGTTCAGTTTTCAGAAACGTCTTTAATGTAACTGTATAAACATGTTTTATTACAAATACATTAGTTATGTTCAGAATGTACCCCTTATTCTCGAGTACGGGCGGAATGATAAATAGGAAAAATTTGTTTCCTTACGGACATATCAGACAGGAACAGAGCGCCAGGTTTTCGAACTGTTGAGATTTGACTGAACAAAAATGCCGTGAGTAATTTATTGATTAGATATGATGATTTTGATGTAGTGCGAATATGCGTCTGAAGTTATCATTTAGAACATGTATATTAAATCTCACAATATTTTCTTTTTGCTGCAGTGTAAACAAGGAAAGTAAACGTATAACTGTAAGTAACTTTAGCGGGTTTGTTACAATCAATTCCTGTGCATTGTTGTTGTATTCTACATTTGTCAAACATCTTGTGCGTTGTCTCGCATGCTTTGATGTTATTAATCTTTTCTGGAAGAGTAATTCAGAACAGTTCATATTTAAACCAACACTCGCCTGTCAACATTACTCAATCCTACAAAAGGCAACACAAAGCGCCTCACAACCATAGACTGTATATATTAACAACCCATATCACATCAGGCATAAATAGTATACATTAAAATGTACATAAACATTAAAAATACAATTCCAAAGGGCATTAAAACACACACATTGAGATCACAAGGAAACTTAAAAGCACATAAAATAAAGTCACACAATTAATTAAAAACATTAAAATATCAAAATCACACATGGGACTAAAATCATGAATAGCCATAGTGCACCTAAAATAGAATCATTCAGTTAGTACAGTCTCTACATCCTGAATGGTAACATACATTGTATGGTCAGCAAACTGTTTTGTATTGTATACGTCGACCTTTGTCTGGGAAGACAAACATGAACATTTAGATTTGCATTTTACATGCTGAACTAAACGTAAACACCTGCACCAATCTGGCTCATGCCATGAGATGGGGAAAAAATTAATAAAAGTGGACAACCCACCCAGGTGCAATTACAACTGTAGTTGTTGTAGTTGTAGTGGTGTGGACCATCATGAATCTATTATAATGGCGGTGGGGACATGACTTCCCTTTTTTAATGACTTTTTTTTTCCTGAAAGCCGACACCCTCCAAAATACCTCTTCCAAAAAGACTGAAAACACAGCCAAAACCTGCTCCTACAGGTTTGTCAGCATTCTGTTACAGCATTTGACATGCTTTTAGTTCAAGGATTTTCTCTCATATTTGTTTATTTAGAAGCCAATACTAACAAAAAAAGACAAGAAAAACCTCAGCAGACAGGGGCCGGAAGGTAAGGCTTTCTCGTCTGTAAATATTTTTCAATTACCTGACTTATCAAACTAATTATTTTTAGTTTTACTGCATGTTCTCTATTATGCTACTTATTTAATATATAATATATTGGGGAAAAATTAAAACATTATTATAGTTGATCATCAAAAGATGCAAATTATGTTGTTAGTGCGACCTTAATTTATTCCTAGATAAACTACTACAGTAGTGAATTATTCTACAAGAAAGACCATAGACATCACAGATAACTTCCCTTTTATTGCAATATTTCAATTGCTTCACTTTCCGGATGGTCATGATGACGTATCCAAATTTAATGACAGGAGATTCGGAATGATAGGGATTCATCCTTGGCCAAATTATCAGTGATTTACATAGCACTAAAAATAGTTGTATAAGAGTCACTTAACACAAGAACCATTTCCTTAGTCTGGGTTGACATTTTGTGTCTGTCACATCCATCAAGGCAAGCATTAGTTTTTAATTTTATACTTCTGCCACTGCTACATTACACGAGTCACATTTATGGTACATTCATAACACTCACTTTATTATGTCAAATGAGTACACCAGGAGCATGTCGGTATTTCAGCAGAAGAGAAATTGTTGCCTTGACAGCTTAATGATTTAACGTGATCAGAATATAATGGATTTATCACCAAACTATGAATCTTGAACATTAACAACTTCATATTATTCATTGTTCGCTAACTATTGTGTCTTGTTCCTATGGTTTTACAGGATGGATGTTTTACGATCCAAACTAGAAAATTCTATGAGTGCATTCATGGAGGCCAGGAAAGAGCTGGAGGAAGTTTTGGTATGTATTTTTTCTTACATAATCTGTAAAAAGACTGCGGGAATGTAATTTGTTCATGACATCAGTAAGTGTGAGATATGATCACTTCTGGCTTTACCTTCACTTTGTTTTAGATGCGTAGCTTTTTCTATTTAAAAATGAACTCCATATCCATATGCATGTTAATTAGTCAGCAGGGGGCAGCAGTGAACAAGGGCGTCCCGCTGCTGAAGCCGCTGCTGAGCTGAAGCGTGAGCTCCACAGACACAGAGACCTGAGTAAGTCAAATATTTATATGACGTCTGATCTATTATTGTGTGAGCCACCATTTACATCGAGTCAAATGTTTTTCAGCTTCCCATGTAACGCAGCATTTGAAGGAAAATCGAGATCCAAAGACAACCATGTCAAGGTAGAATATAAAGATAATGTTAACAAACCACATTTCCTTTAAGCTAACCAATGTGTATTAGTTTCACTTCTAAAAATGAATTATTTTAATGTCATCTCATCAATTAGGCACTGTTCTTTAGCTAGTTGTTTGTTGTTGATAATTCTTTGGTCATAGTATTTGTCCCCGACAACCACCAGATGAGAATTCTGTGTAATTGTGAAGTTATCTCAAAATCTACAGAAACTGCAAAACTTTTTATGTCCTAACTGTTTTGTTGGTTAAAGAGAAAGGCATAAAAAGCAGTCACAAGTTTTTAGATTTTTCAACGCCTATTAGCTACCCTCATAATTCTATTCTGCCTGGATCATCATGGCCTTTTAACATTATCCGTGTCAATGAATGCTTTTAGATCACTGTATGCTTAGAGACCTTTTGGAAAAAGACAACATTTTTCTATGGCTACACAAACAACTCGAGTAGATTTCCCGAGGAGAGTATTTATGTAATTTTTTAGGCACATTTTATGCCTGCAGCTATGCAATTCTTGTGATCAAATCACACAATGGAGACTTGTGGAAGATGAATGTCTTTATTGTCAGAAGGATAGCTTGTTTTTCGATAAGGTTGTTAGAAATTATTTGAATTTGTTCCAGTAAAAAAGCAGAACATACATGATGCATTGTGGATGCATGCCTTGGGAATGTCACATTTTCGTCACATGGTAGATCTGTAAAATTTATCAGTTTTCCATAAACCTCCTTACAACAACAGAGCTCACAATGTCAGCACAGATTGTAGTAGGAGAGAATAGTCCCTCTTTGTGCACAGAGACACACATTTTAAGTAAACAAACTGTTATTCAAAGCTGCTGAACACTTCTGCCCTACATCTGCTGAGAGTGTGAAATCTAGACAGATGATGTGGATAGCATCCTGCATGATCATGTTGTAGTGTAAAATGTTTGTATAAATGTGAAGCTAGGACTTCAGGAATTGGTCCTATGATACATCTGGGGACATGTTTGAAGCAGGAATTTAGGATTGTTATTAGCTAACCAATCAGTGAGATGATGCTCTGCATAAAACCCCATACATACGTTATTTGTATGGGGTTGATTTGTTTTATATTGGACTCTGCAGTCAAACGGTCATAATACTTTGGTATCACATCTCTGACAGAATCACTCAGGGGCAGCCTTTAAGGTTAACACAAGTTTCAGTTTGCAAAGCAGCCCAAAGAAGTCGCTTTTGGTGAGCAATCAGACTTTACAGGCATAAATCCTCAGGGGTCTAGTGGCAGCATTAAATTCCCACAGCACCTGTCTGGGCTGATGACTACAAAATTGGAAAAGAAAGGCCCCAATAATTCTGAGGCAAGTTTCCCTGAGCAGTGGGTATTGATTATTTGTGTGTGGTGAGAGATTTGGAAAATTCAATTAAAGAAGTTGTGAAAAGGATTCATAAATTCAGCCTTCCAGACCCGTACCAAGACATGGTTATGTTCGAAATCAATGCTGGGCATCACAATATATTTTCTTAGGAACATAAACATAAATAACATTTAAACAGTTCTGCTTACAACTGATTTTTTTTTTCTCCTACAAAGCTTTTGAGTAACCCACAAACACAAGTCTCAAGGCTATAATGCAATTTATTACCATTTTTATCATAATATAATTCCATGTGTGAATTTTTAGATGCCAAAATGAGGGAAAAGGGGACGCCTCAGCAAAGTAAAAATTGATCAGGCCATAGAGTAGAGCACATTGGGGAAGATTTGTATGTCAGCAGTAATGGGCTGTATTAAAAAGAAGATTCCTTAAGACGTCATAAAAGTGATGGGGTCCGGTGTTGGCCCTCTTGTCACATCAATCCTGCTGCAGTTCATGACAGATGCCACCTACCCACCCAGAGTTTTATGCTTTCTGATTGAACACATGAGTGCAATTAAATGGGAGAGTTGTATATTAGGCTGTTTTTATCCAACTGAAGATGGTGGCCTTCGATCGGGGTGGTGCTTTGCAGAGTATGCAGTCTCTTTGGCAAGATATTTGTTTGATTTACAGAATGTCTTTGAATTTAATCTTTGGAGGCCTGGCCACACTGCTTTGGTGTTATATCAAATACAAATATGCCCAAGAATAATAAGATTATGCAAAAATGTGCAATATTTTGAAAGTGTTTGTCTTTTCTAATTTTCAGATAAGGTAGTTCCACCTAACTTTCTTAAGTCTCATATTGGCTAAGGTGAGTACCATCATTATAGGATGATAGGCTTTCAAATCAGTATAATATGAGGCTGTCTACATCTTAAACATTCATTTTGTGCATGTTCTTATTTGTCAACATTGAAAACATTTTGTAGTTTGGTGTGCATGATACCGCCAGGTGCCAGTGGGGTTAAAATCATGTTTTCCTCTCCCTCGTTCCCCAGGTTTCTGCCACAAAGGCATCTCAGCGGCTGACAGCTAATGGAATTGCTCTTCACCTCTTGTGTAGCGCTGAGCGTATGATCCCGTGGAGCCATGGCGGGAGATGAATGTGGAATATGTGCTGTCAGTTGAGGCTGAGGTGTCTTTGAAGGCGTCATTCATCTGCTGGAAGTAGCAGCCGATCCTCTGGTGTGTTAGACTCCATCTACCTGCCTGGGTTGCTTGCTGGCAGCTGACAAATGTTGATTCTACATTAACCACAATCCGCAACGTTGTGCAAATAATATTCTTTGGATGGCGCCCCTCACTCTGTTTAAAAGCTGAAAGTATGCAATCCTCCCCACCTGTGTAGCTTAACACCTTTGCAAAAGTAAATGTTAGGGTGGAAGAGGTGGGGGCACAAACTGTCTTACACAACACAGTAGTCTCTTTATTTGGCAGTGCCTGGGAAGACTTAGGCCTCTCCCTGCCCGAGCCGACCCAAGCAACAGCTGCGTTCACAGCAACATTTCCTATTTCTGCCTAAGGTGGATCACGTAACTCTCACTTTATCACCCTTAGAGGCCACGTGAAGGACAAAGCCACTCTTCCCATAAACAAAACTAATGTTTTGATTCAAGTCCCTCTGGAGAAGGAGAAAAGATCTATTCTTTGTGTGGACGGCTGTTATAAACCACCAGCTCTCACCAAGACTCGACACAATCTGCTGCCAGCTACAACTGTCATTGGGTCTTGACCACAGGAGTGATCCCCTAAATGAGTGATTTGGCATTCTCTGGCAACTTTATGCTCTCAGCCGTTAGCACATAAACGGTTTAATGCAGACTCGGAGCCACTATTTTGTAACTGTATACTGAATGTTTACTATAATTGGTGTTTTGTGTCTATTTTAACATGTGTAATAATCTAATGTACTAATATACTGTAAATTGCATGCTAAATATATATATATAATTTATTGTTATTAAAATAAAATGTCTCTTGCATAATTGACAAGACAACTTTTACTGCATGATTGTTTGGATAATTTCTCCACCGTGGTCTGTTTTTGTCATTCAAAATGTGTTCATATATCAGCGACTTGTAACCCTTTGTCCTGGCATTTTCTGCCCCATTGATGCAACAGCTAACATGGATTTTAAGGTCCTATTGTTCCCATGGAGCATCATTGGCTATTGGCCCCGGGACTCAGATGCACAAGCAACTCTCAATGACCTGATAACATTTATAGTTGTAATGGATTTTTTTAATGCCTGTCATTAACTGGAAGAAAGAGCGGAGAATGAAATTGGTTGTTCCCTTTTCTGTGGTATTTCACCTTTTATAGCGATATGTTCCAATGTGTCACCTTCCATCATGTCTTTTAAGGCCTGGCCTGTCACGGGTTTGTTTGAAGTCTACATGTCTTATGTGCACAACTCCTGTAGCACCTACGAGCCCTAATGAATATTTTATGACATGAAATAAAGTCCCAAAGATATAATTTCTGTGCAATTATTGGCACTGTCTAAGACGTGCAGTAAAGTATGATTTAATGTAGTACTTAGTAAATGCAGACAGTTTATGTATAAAACCTGCCTCAAATCATTTAACTGAAGCAGTAAAATGGATGCTCGTTTTCTGTTAATGACATTCATTTTATTAAAAAAAAACCTTGTACAAAAAATATGACGGTACAAAAAGTGGATCATAATTTTGGTCACTATTTAGACCAGAGTACAAGCCTTTAAAGGAATAGCTGCTACCATCCTTGCCTCTATAATCTGGAATTTATTCATTAACATGTGGTTTAATGATCATTTAATCCTCACTTGAACTCAAGGAGAAATGTAGTGCTTTAAACCTGAACATTTTAGGCAAAGCAGTCGCACATAAGTATCACAGTACATCTTTATCACATTAAAAACATTTTGTTTAAATCGTAGAAAGTTTAAAACACTAGAGTTCACATGTTTACAGAGTGTTTCCTAGAAGCCGATTGGCTGCCATGTTGATTCGAGCCGTGGGATTGGTCGATGGGGGTCACCATCACTGTATATTGCAATAGGAAAACTTTGTTTATACCATACTAAATATCTAATTATTTTTAGGGGTATATTTGATCAATCCAGGTGCTGAATTGCAGGTGAATATTTTGTGGTTTAGTTCCATCTGCATGTGAATCAGAATTTGGGCTCCAATGGTAAGGGGAGCACATCGCTTAAATATACCCCTAAGTATCTTTCAAAGTGTCACATTTTCAAACCAACCAATACATTTCTACTCTACATGAGCCACATTATGTGTATCATTGAAATGAATGAAATAAAAACAGTATTTGGTCCAGGTTCAACCCTCAGACATCCCTTAAATACAGGCAAACTCATGACTCATGTATACTGTAAAAACATAAAATAGCATGTTCTTTAATAAAACATGTTATTCATAAAAGTCTAGGAAAAAAACAATAAGGGATGTCCGTTTCAAAAGTTGAATTTCATATTTGTTTAAAGATCTCAATTTTGAAGATTAAAGACAAAAAATTAGGTGCATTTTTATGTGACCTTTGCAGCTATAACGTTGACTCTATTCTTTTCATTATATCTAGAACCGTTTCAAACAGGCATTTAATGGTTACAGTGGAATGGATTTTTTATTTGGGCAAAAAGTATTCATCTGATGTTCTAGAACTGTTTACAACTGTGTATAACTTTCTTTTACATCGCCTCATTATGAGTCAAACACTTAATCCATATTACTGCACATCTTTGCACCAGTAGCTTTCCCCACATAAACTGTCCTCAAATCTGTTTAGCTGGTCTTCTTTTGGCTCTTCTTGCTGGGTGGCTCTGTAAACTGGACAATATTGAAATACACGTATGTTCCCATAAAATGCATAAAGGAAAACGTAGATATGAGCACCGGAAACAAGTCTGGTAGATGTGGTGGAGGCGATGATGTCACACTGGCAATGCTCAGAGCAACCATGGCCAGGACGCTGATGCAGAACTAGAGCAGAAAAATATACGTGAGCAATAAGCATATAACATGAATGCTATAGAAACTAAACATTTCAGTAGATTTTCAAATTTGATTATGAACATAATCAGTAATAATCACAATTGATAAATTGCAGAATTGGCTGTGTATCATTCTTTATTGTCTCCTTCTCAGCTTTTACATCTTTGCTTTTGCAAAGGAAAAGGCTCAGGAGTCTCATTTATAACACAAACAGCAGTATGCACAAAACAGAGCCAGAAAGTGTGTACTTTTGAAGCGCGTTCAGGCTCTTTCATGCATTGTCTACTAAATAAATATTTGACGTGACTAAGTGCGGACCGCCACACAAACTTCAGACCTGGTTTATGCAAGCTCACTTTTCAGAGACTGAGACGAGAAGGATGGTAATAGACAAGAGGAGAGAGGGGTTTTGATTGTGAAACTTATTTATTAAAAAAACAGACCATCTGTTTAATTTATCTTTGAAGGTGAAGCCACATCTACGTGAAACAGAATGTTACGAAGAGCTGCGATCATTGATAGCTTTGACTGCGCTCTTGTCCCCAGTGTCTTTGACATGAGCTAGACACACATCCATCCGTCCATCCATCCATTTTCTTCCCCTTAATCCATTTCTGGGTTGGGGGGTGGCAGTCAGAGCTGCACCCAGTACACATAGCACCAGCCCCTCACTGATCCTCCAGCAGGTGGTGAGTCTACAGGAGGATGGATCTTCCAGTGGGGGTTTCAGGCAAAGTGGGGTTAAGTGTCTTGCCCAAGGACACAACGACAGCAGTCATCAGTGGGAGTCTTGAAGAAGTTCTCATGGAGGGCTCGAATCCAAGACCTTAAGGCCCAAAGGCCAACGCTCTACCAACTGAGCTACTGTCGCCCTGCATGTCCAACCAATATGGACATACAGCAAGTGTGTGTGTGTGAGCGCTTACACAAATATGCACACACACTGTCTGTAATCATAGCAGACCCCCACCCCCTCACTTGGGCTGCAGGAGCAGCGCGTTCACACATGTGGTCTTTCCTGTGTTTTGTGCCGGAGAGTGGAACCAATCATAAAACACAGCTCCAAAATATCTACCCAAAATAAATGCAATCGTCAGTGCAGGAGTCAGCTGATGTGGTGAAGTATCCCATGAGCGAAAAATAGCTTTGTGGAGTTTCCTCCAAAAACAATGATGTAATCCAAACATCTTTGACGTCATTGAAAAGATGTCCTCAAATCCTCAAATTAACGCTGTTTTGAAAGAGTGATGAGAATTAAGACAAAATAAACTCAGTTTCAGTATCTTTATAAACTGTGTTGTGTGAAATGTCAAAGTTATGTGTGCGAGTGCATGTGTCACTCACAACCTGCTCCTTCCCCAATGTGAATAACAGCCTCATGACTATAGAAATGAATTATATACCTTTTAATTATCTTTAATTATTTCAAAACAAATGATACTCAGAGGACCATAGGATTTTTGGTTATAAATTGCACCTTGAACTTGAATGGTTTTCCAACTACTGTTGTAATGAAGTGATGCACAGGAGGACTGGGGTTTTGATCACCATCCATTACCCATAATGCCACTGCAACTGTTGCGCTGGACCTTTGGCTGTTCAACGTTAAAATTAAAAGACTCCTTGTAGGTAATCCCCCTTGTTACTTTCAATCTTAGATCTGATTTGAGCATCTGTTTGAGTGTTCTGATCCCAAGATAAGCTGGTGATGGAAGAAACACACACTCCCATTCTGCTCTCCCAAATCCATGAAACCCTATCTCCGTCATCAGTGCTCGCTATTTATGCAGCTTGAGTAAATAAATATATCTAGGCGAACCTGTGTTAATGACACAAGCTATAAAAAGACACCTTCTCTTAATCTCTGACACTCTCCCATTGCCGCTGGCCCGGCTGTGCATCTACTTCAGACTGTGTGGAAACTTAAATAAGTGATAAATAATTCTTGGGCTGGCAGCGGCTCTCATCCCCGGACAGCTTACACAGCTTACAGTGGCACATGAGCTTTATTTATACAGTTGGATGTACCAGCTCGCATGTTTGCAATTTAGGGCAACAGTGATACGAAGTGTAGGCCACCTGGGATATCAAATCATTCAGCAACCCTTAATGGTCATTTATATGATTCTATGGATGGAGACGGTATATCTGTACTATAACTAGCCTTTACATACAAGATATTCAAAACAATCCACTAATTATGAAATGGATCATCCGACCAATGTGTGTATATATAATCTAAATGTGGTGTCATCACATTAAAATGTACAGATGTAAACATACTGCTGCTAATGTACAGATGTAAACATACTGCTGCTAATGTACAGATGTAAACATACTGCTGCTAACATGTACAGATGTAAACATACTTCTGCTAACATGTACGGATGTAAACATACTGCTGCTAATGTACAGATGTAAACATACTGCTGCTAACATGTGCGGATGTAAACATACTGCTGCTAATGTACAGATGTAAACATACTGCTGCTAACATGTACGGATGTAAACATACTGCTGCTAACATGTACGGATGTAAACATACTGCTGCTAACATGTACAGATGTAAACATACTGCTGCTAACATGTACAGATGTAAACATACTGCTGCTAACATGTACAGATGTAAACACACTGAGGCTAACATGTACAGATGCTAACATATAACTACACTTTGCTTGTGCTAGAATACACAGTACTTCATAGTTGCCTCTTATTGCCAAATGTTAAACTTTTACACCTCTTTTATTATTATTTTCAAGATAGAGATTTGATACTTGATACACTCTTTCCTACTGTCCTATAACGTGTGATGCAACACTGAAATTCCCCACTGTGGGACGAATAAAGGATCTCTTAATCTTAATCTTAATAATGTGATGAGACCGTATCAGTTTAAGCATCCTTTCAGAACGCTCATACCAAAGCACTCAGAATATACTGTGTGTTTGCATTGACTGTGATATATGAACATATGATATAGTATTGACATTTGCATACAAGCTGAAGCTACTGATATAGCCACGAACAGCTTCAACACAGACAGCAGATTCTTTTAAATCTTAAAAATAAATGCCAGGTGAAATTGATGTAGTAAATAAACAGGAGGTTCTAATGCGCTGCTTAGCATTTACAACATTTGTAGAGGTCGGACGATCGGAGCTGGAAGAATAAATAACACCTTGATTAGGCTATTGTTGGGATTAGGCTCGATTTAAAGAAGATGAGGAAAACGTGGATACCAAAAGTGGAGAGGAAAACGTGGATACCAACATATGCAGTGTTTACTTTTTTACATTATGAAGGTATTTTGAACAAACTATTGCACTTAGTGAATATAGGTTTGGATATTCCTTTATAGTTTTTTCTGAATTATGTATTGAAACAAAACCAAGTTTAGTTGAGTTCAGTTCAGAGAGAACACTTGTTTTAAAATGAGGTATAACAGGCCATGGTAGCACATTGCTCAGATGGAAAGAGGTTAAAACGGTGAACTGATTTCGACCGACTTCAATCTACATGTGACAAAAGCTTGGTTAACCATATGAAATAATTCAAACATCAGCATGCCTTGCACCTTTTAACACAATTTTGTATTGATTGGAAATACCAACTTTATTCATTATCTAACGTGCTCGCCTTCAAATTACATTCATGTTGAGGTTTAAGACAAATGCCATTTCCAGACTCTTACTCCGATTTGAGTTTACCTAAATGCCTTTGAACACTTAATTTTCTTACTATTTGACCACTACTTAATGCTGCTCTAACCTCAAAGCTGGGGGGGTGGGGTGATAGTTTAGTGAGTGCGGGGAGGGTGAGCAGAAGAGCAAGGACAGCGCTCACATTCGAAAATTTCACAAAGTGAGTTAGTGCAGCTTTAAATACAGTCTCACAGTCACTTCACTTCACTCATCTCTGCAATAATAACTTCAATAATCTCAGAATGTGCAATATAGAACCACATGTGTTACTGGCACTTTCCTGAGTCACTTTCTCCCATAGCCTCATGCGGCTAACATGTACAGATGTAAACACAACGACACTACTATATATGACTTGCACTAGAATACACCAATACTTTATACTTGGTTCTTCTTATCATAATTATAATACTACATAAAAAAAAAAAAAGGAGAACCAAGGACGCTGTACAAACATGGTTATTATTATCATGCCAAATGTAGAGATGTTATACTTCTTTATTATGCTAAAGTCAGAGCTTTTTGTACTCATTATGCTAAAGATAGAGATTTTATACTTGTTTCTTTGTGCTAGGGTTAGAGATTTTATTTTATTTTATTTAGTATAGATTTATTATTCATATATCTTGTGCTGTGTGCTCCTCATTCCAACTCTTCTGTAACTGGTGATGCAACACTGAAATATCCCCACCGTGGGACATACAGTATAAAGGATCTCTTAATCTTAAAGACTTTTTTTTAGCCGCTCACTCAACCCACCTTCCACTTCACCACACATCCCAGGTCGCGCTTTGGCAGACAGAACAGCATCTTGCGGTAGCCTTCAATCCTCAGCTCCTGCTCCGTACAGTGCCTCAGCGGTGAGAGCAGATACACGCTGAAGTATAGGAAGGCCAGCGAGGTCACGGCGTAAGGCACCAGCAGCCCGTCTTTCACAAACAGCGGCAGCATGCTATTGCGAAGGACAAAGTTACAGACTGTGATTTACTTTTATGATGCATATAGACATTATCCTAAAGCTTAGTGTTGTGTTTATAGCTTTTTATCCAGCGGGCCGTGCATAAGTTTCCCGTCCCCTGGAGAGAGATGACTCCTGACACTCACGCCAAGCTTATCTTTAGTTTAGCAGAGAGGCCTGGGCAAGAACAACAGTTGACTCATATTAAATCGCCCGTTGCCCCAGCTTGTAAAAACCCAATACACTCGCACTTGTTTTCATTTTAAACGGCAAACAAAGACATCCCATTCAGAAGATAAATGTTTGGCATTGTAAAAATACATACTTTGCCACTCTCGCAAACACTGGGCCCGTTTTTCCCTCGTCTGATTAGCTAGGGCTCATGTCTGCGTCCAGCCAATTACGGTAACAACAGAGGTATTTCTTCTTACAATTGTGTGTTGACAATATAGTTTCCTGACAGTAAGGGGGGGAAAACAAACACGGCTCCTGTTCCAGCAGGGCGCACACTTAGGCAGCAGGCACGCAGACTATGCCATGTAATCCCCACATATCCGTATACTAAACCACACGCACAACAATTAGTGCTGCCGGAAGAATCTGACAACAGCTGCTGAAAGTTAGATGGAGCGTTTGCAGCACTACTTGTTTTTTCCCGTCTATTATAGCCCTCGCTCGAGTTGCTACAGCAAATTGATTTGATAGTAGCGTTGGTTGCAGAGAGGAGAATGGGGCGCATAAATTGACAATGGAAGTACCACTTTTCAGATGGGTCCGTCAGCTATCTGCATGTCTCCATACAGGGGTTATTTCCTTGCCTTGGTTTAAGGTTGGAGAGTCGTTCAAGATGACTGATGTTGTGATTTTGGGTTGAACAAAAAAAGCTGATTGGAGGATTTGATTTAAAAACAATGCAAGTTTTTAAGTTTGTTGTTTTGTTTTGAGAAACAGCTCACTCTCACTTTCTGATCTGTTTTTTGGTAGCAGCGGCTAGAATTAAAGTTGTTTCACTGTTTTTTTGAGCAATAGGAATCCAACACCTAAATAAATGCAAGGTAGAAAATGTAAATATCTACATAGCATTCAGCGTCCCCTTCACCTTCATCAAATACAACACAATGGAATATTCATATACGCAAACAATATTCAGGAGAGCACCATTTGACTTAAGAGTGTCATTGATAATTTTGTCCTTATACGGTATATAATATATATATATAGTCTACCTGAATGTTGAAGTCTGCAGTAACCAGATGGCGATGAGAGGAAGGTCGCTCAGCAGAAGGCAGGCCGGCCTGAAAGAAAATAAGTGTCCTTAGTAAACTTTCATCTTCAACATTAAGTACCATAAAATACAATTTGATCTACAACAGTAAAAGGATTCATGCAAGGTCAATGCCGGATATAGATGTGATGCGTGTATAATATTAAAGCTTACGGGGCAAATAGGACATCCTTATTATGCCATTATTGATGGTCCACTGTCTACAAGTCCTCATTTTATCCTTTAACTGAAGTGTACTCAAGTTGGAAATACAATGATGAGTGCTAAGATTATATATTAAGCCTAAATAGTGAGACAGAAGAAACCGTTCAATTTCAAGCTCTGACAGCTTGAAAGGGTATTTACTCCCATTTATTTAAAAAGGCTAAATGACCCATAGGTATAGGATAGTGGCTGATATTTCAAAAATTAAATATATCAGCCCCCTTTGTTGGTCAATCTCTATTGTGAATGTCAAGCACCTTGCTTTAGGAGTGATGTTGTATATGACTGATTTATGGCAGGTTGTTAGCTTTGTCTCCTCAAACAGTCAGATGTGGCCATAGAGGATTTTAATTGTAACGTGTAATCCAATTGACCAACAATGATTATAATAACACCTGTATGCAGTAATCACGCTCATAGATACACGTATACTCCATGTTAGTAGAGTTGGGTTTGAAGACACAGCCTCTTAAAGTTTAAATACAGCTCATGTATCACCTCCATGAATATACTGTATCTGCTAAGTAATAATACTGACATATTTATTGTTACATTACGGCTGGTTTTAATTATTTAAATAACAAAAAACATATGACCTACAACATAACATCTACAGTCTCATGAATTGTATTTAGACAGTATTAGAATATTATGACCCTGTGTTCTATCCATCCATCCATCCATTTTCTTCCGCTTTATCCGTTGCCGGGTCGCGGGGGCAGCAGTCTAAGCAGAGACGCCCAGACTTCCCTATCCACACACACCTCCTCCAGCTCGTCCGGGGGGACCCCTAGGCGTTCCCAGGCCAGCTGAGAGACATAGTCTCTCCAGCGTGTCCTGGAGACCTCAACTGGTTCCTCTCGACGTGGAGAAGCAGCGGCTCTACTCCGAGCTCCTCCCGTGTGACCGAGCTCCTCACCCTATCTCTAAGGGAGCGCCCAGCCACTCTGCGGAGGAAGCTCATTTCGACCGCTTGTATCCGCGATCTCGTTCTTTCGGTCATTACCCACAGCTCATGACCATAGGTGAGGGAGGGAACAAAGATTGACCGGTAAATCGAGAGCTTTGCCTTTCGGCTCAGCTCCCTCTTTACCACAACGGTCCGATACAGAGACCGCATCACTGTGCACGCTGCACCGATCCGCCTGTCAATCTCACGCTCCATCCTCCCCTCACTCGTGAACAAGACCCCGAGATACTTGAACTCCTCCACTTGAGGAAGGACCTCTCCACCCACCTGGAGAGGGCAAGGCACCTTTTTCCGGTCGAGCACCATGGCCTCGGATTTGGAGGTGCTGATTCTCATCCCAGCCGCTTCACACTCGGCTGCAAACCGTCCCAGTGCATGTTGCAGGTCCTGGTTCGTTGGAGCCAGCAGGACGACATCATCCGCAAAAAGTAGAGATGAAATCCTGTGGTTCCCGAACCGGACCCCCTCCGGCCCCTGGCTGCGCCTAGAGATTCTGTCCATAAATACAGTGAACAGAACCGGTGACAAAGGGCAGCCTTGGCGGAGGCCAACATGCACCGGGAACAGGTCTGACTTACTGCCGGCAATGCGAACACAGCTCTGGCTCCGGTCATACAGGGACCGAACAGCCCTCAGCAGAGGACCCCGGACCCCGTACTCCCGGAGGACCCCCCAAAGGACACCCCGGGGAACACGGTCGAACGCCTTCTCCAAATCCACAAAGCACATGTGGACAGGTTGGGCGAACTCCCATGAACCCTCGAGTATCCGATGGAGAGTATAGAGCTGGTCCAGTGTTCCGCGACCGGGACGAAAACCACACTGCTCCTCCTGAATCCGAGATTCGACCATCGGACGTAGCCTCCTCTCCAGTACCTTGGAGTAGACCTTACCGGGGAGGCTGAGGAGTGTGATCCCACGATAATTGGAACACACCCTCCGGTCCCCCTTCTTGTAGAGAGGGACCACCACCCCGGTCTGCCACTCCATTGGCACCGCCCCCGATCGCCACGCGATGTTGCAGAGACGTGTCAGCCAAGACAGTCCTACAACATCCAGAGACTTTAGATAGTCAGGACGGATCTCATCCACTCCCGGCGCCTTGCCACCATGGAGGCTGCCAACCACCTTGGTGACCTCGGCCAGGGAGATGGAAGTATCCGCCCCAACATCCTCAGCCTCTGCCTCCTGGACGGAGGACGTGACGGGGGGATTGAGGAGAACCTCGAAGTATTCCTTCCACCGCCCGACAATATCCCCAGTCGAGGTCAGCAGCCCTCCACCCGCACCATACACGGTGTTGGCAAAGAACTGCTTCCCCCTCCTGAGGCGCCGGACGGTTTGCCAGAACCTCTTCGAGGCCGACCGATAGTCATGCTCCATGGACTCTCCGAACTCCTCCCAGTCCCGGGTTTTTGCCTCTGCAACAGCCCGGGCCGCGGCACGTTTGGCCTGCCGGTACTGGACAGCTGCCTCAGGAGTCCCACGAACCATCATTGCTCGATAGGACTCCTTCTTCAGCCTGACGGCATCCCTTACTGCCGGTGTCCACCACCGGGTTCGGGGATTGCCGCCGGGACCAGCACCAGAGACCTTGCAACCACAGCTACGAGCCGCCGCATTGGCGATAGAGGAAGAGAACATGGTCCACTCGGACTCGATGTCCCCCTCCTCTGCCGGGACCTGGGAGAAGCTCTCCCGGAGGTGTGAGTTGAAAGTCCGTCTGACAGGGGGCTCACCAAGACGTTCCCAGCAAACCCTCACTACACGCTTGGGCCTGCCAGGTCTGACCGGCCTCCTGCCCTGCCAGCGGATCCAACTCACGACCAGGTGATGATCGGTTGACAGCTCCGCCCCTCTCTTCACCCGAGTGTCCGAGACACGCGGTCGAAGGTCAGATGATACGACTACAAAGTCGATCATCGACCTCCGGCCTAGGGTGTCCTGGTGCCACGTGCACTGATGGACACCCTTGTGCTCGAACATGGTGTTCGTGATGGACAGGCCGTGACTGGCACAGAAGTCCAACAACTGAACACCGCTCGGGTTCAGATCAGGGGGGCCGCTCTTCCCGATCACCCCTCTCCAAGTGTCACTGGCATTTCCCACATGGGCGTTGAAGTCCCCCAGGAGAATAACGGAGTCCCCGGGCGGTGCACTGTCCAGTACCCCTCCCAAGGACTCCAAGAAGGCCGGGTACTCTGCACTACCGTTAGGCCCGTAGGCCGTCACAACAGTGAGAGACTTGTCCCCAACCCGGAGACGGAGGGACGCGACCCTCTCATTCACCGGGGAGAACTCCAACACGTGGCGGCTGAGATGGGGGGCAATGAGTATGGCCACCCCAGCTCGCCGCCTCTCCCCGCGGGAAACACCAGAAAAGTGGAGCGTCCAACCCCTCTCAAGGAGTTGGGTTCCAGAGCCCAAGCTGTGTGTGGAGGTGAGGCCGACTATCTCTAGTCGGTATCGCTCAACCTCCCCCACAAGCTCGGGCTCCTTCCCCCCCAGTGAGGTGACGTTCCACGTCCCAAGAGCCAGATGTTGGGTGTGTGGACTGGGTCGTCGAGGTCTCCGCCTTCGACTGCTGCCCAGTCCTCTCTGCACCTCGCCACCACGGACCCCTCTGCAGGTGGTGAGCCCACAGGAGGGACTGCCCACGTCATCCCTTCGGGCTGAGCCCGGCCCACCAGGCGCTCGCTTGCGAGCCCCGACCCCAGGCCTGGCTCCAGGGTGGGGCCCCGGCTGCGCCATGCCGGGCGACGTCACGGTTTTCGTTGTCGTGCTGTCCATGGTTGGCTTCGGACTGCGCTTCGTCTGACTCGTCACTTGAGACCTGTCTGCCATGGGAGACCCTACCAGGGGCATGAAGCCCCAGACAGCATAGCTCCCAGGATCATCCGAGTAAGTAAGTAAGTAAGTAAGTAATCTTTATTTATATACCGCCTTTTCACTGCACATCGGAATCTCAAAGCGGTTTACAATTGTTATTTTTGGGAGTGGGGGTGCCAGTACAGGAGGCACATGCCAGACCTATTGTACATATTTTTAGTGGTAGGGGAAACCGGAGCACCCGGAGGAAACCTACGCAGACACGGGGAGAACATGCAAACTCCACTCAGAAAGGCCCTGGTCCAACCGGGATTCGAACCCAGGACCTTCTTGCTGAGAGGCGAGAGTGCTATCCACTCAGCCACCGTGCCGAGTGCTCAAACCCTGTGTTCTACTGTCCCCTAAATATGATTGATTGAAAGTGTTTTTTCTTACATTTGCCCATGTTCTAACTTGATGACAGGCCCTAATCGTTATTGTGTTGGTGCTTCACAGTCGTCACATGGGGGCTTCAGTCCAATGGGGGTTCTTTCTGGGGGTCCCTGAGCCCATAACTACAGCCTGTGCCATCGGCGATCCTGTTACAATCCAATCATTGATCTGCACAAACAACGCCTGGAGCTGCAGCCTGACGCTCGCTCTTAATCCCTGGACATGCATTACTGATAGATTCACAGAACAGGTGGGAGATGCAACTCAATAGTTAATAAAGCAACAACCTACCCTCATCTAGATTAATACAAGAGATTAGAGCTGGAAACTAAATCCCCAGCTGGACTGATTTTGAACTATGTACGAGAGAATACACCAGTGTAGTCCCAGCTGTAGAACAAAGTATAGGCTATTTCAAACTTACCCTTTAAACTGGTAAACGCTGGATTCTTATTTCTCAGAAACATGACATAAAGTCTACGCAGTATTCACTTTAACTGATTAATGTATTTTTGGTTAGGGCAGGGAACCACAAGAAACCCCAATTTAAACATGTGTCCCAAAGTGGGGTCTGAGGCACCCCAAGATGAGTCTCCAAATGATGTCTACACAGCAAGCAAGCGAAAATTAGATGATATCCATAAGTATGTAATTGCTATATAAATACCACTTTTTACCACTAGGGGTAATATTATTGTGAATAAATTAGTAAACCACACATACATTATACATTGCACATCCACATGGCACTCTATAATGTTGTTATTTTTTGTGATCTTTAAATACACACAAAAAGCATCAAACCATAAATGAACACTCTTTCTTTCATTCCTATACCAATACTATACTTACAACGAGGCCAAGAGAATGGACTTTTCATGGACTTGATATGAAAACAGGAAAAACGCCAGCGAGGAGTTGACCTTAAAGGGGATACACAACAATATTTGTTATATTCACAAATTTGAAGCATCAATACATAAACATTGAAAAATGGTATTCATCATCTCTAACAGCTCTTTCAAAGCAAATACCAGGGCTATGGGTCTGTAGGTGTCTCAGAAAAAATCCTTAGAATCCAATTTCCCGCTGGCATATTTTAAATGTTTTGCAGATATTTGGCCGGCACCACAGGATTTATTAGTGTTCAGCTTCGACACCAACCCAAGGACCTCTTAAACAATCACCTCTTTATTTTGTTATTGGATAAACAACCCCCTCTTTATTATTGTCAATAGAACAAAATTAACTTTTGGCATAATAAAAATGTCACAATAATGTTTCTACCACAACTGATCTGCTCTGATCCACTAGAGCTAGGGCCGTTTTATGACAGTTCATTTAAAAAAAGATTCTTTCGCAAAATCTGTAGAATTTAACACTATGGAAACTTAGAATTAGAAAATTAGAATACTGTTACAAAGTTCATTTATTTGTGTAATTCAACTTAAAATGTGAAACCAACAGTTGAGTATATATAAACTCATTACATGCAATGTGACATTTGCCAAGCCTTTGTTTGTTTGTGTGTAAAATGTTTGCCGACCCCCTCCCTTAAACACTGTGGATTGGGACTCACCAAAGCCAGTTTGAACTGCCAAAATGTGGGTTTTGTCAAAAGACGAAGTGAAGACGGTAGAACTGCCAGCACAGTACAAGCCAAACTATGAAACAGTAACAGTAACAGAAATTAAATTACTGCAATTCACTACTGACATAAGTTGGAGTTAGAAAAATCCCCAGTGAGAAATTAAGTTACCGCAGCATAAAAGATTATTACACAGCAGATGACATGTCAAGTTGAAAATCAATTAAGGCGATATGAATGGGGCTCTTCTGCACATATTTTCAAGCTTTACAAGTACGCCTTTTGTTGTTTTGACTGAGCAAACACACTTGCATATTGAACTAAGATTTATTCAGTCAAATAAACTCCAGTAAATTGCAACGTGAAGTTTTTAGGTATTAATGAAAGCGGCCTGGGAGAAGAATGTCCCAATCCCGCGCCCTGTGTTGGGGTTCAGCTGCATTATTTTAACCCTTCAATTGTCACTTGCTGAGGGCAGAGACACCGGAAGAGCCTTACAATGTGTCAGCGCCCATGTGAGTGTATGTGCGGCGAGGTCAGGAGCTGAGCTAGAGGCCAACTATGTGTTTGTCCTACAATTTGTATGGCGAAGAGCGGGACAGCTGTATTTAAAATCGGATAGTATATGGGTTAGCAGATGCAGAGAACGGTAATAGGAGTTTCGTGGGTTCGGCAGCAGGGCTTAGCGATCCAGAAGATGCATTGATCGTTCAAACAGCAAATATAAACTAGCAGTAGCCCAGAATGTACGAGCTAGGTATGGTAATTACTGTCTATCCACATGAAATATAAACTGGCACAGAGTTCAAGGTCTTCTCGGTCAACTCAAATAAAGAAAAAGGGGTTGTTTTACACAATCGTTTAACAGAATAGGATCTTCAAATACACCTGAATAAGTGTGTGTTGTGGATGGTATTAAGACGGATTTGGAACACATTCTCTTACAAGTAACATTGTAATTATATCTCTTAAATAAAGTCAATCTCCCGTAGTGTAATATAGAGCCCATTTTTCAATCTGAAAATATGATAATTGATTCTCAAAAGTTATTGCAACCACTTCTCTATTTGTCCTAAAAAGGTTGAGACTTTAGTATTTTACAATTGTCTGAAATACACTGTCAATGGAATCCAGTGTTATCCCTGGTCTTAGCAGTCTGGCAGAAACGTGTCAATCTGGTGAACTGCGTCCTAAATTTAGAGGGAGTCATTCTAGCTGCCCCTCCAGGATACCGCTGTTCTCACTGCACTGTTCAAGAGCTTTACATTAAAAGAAGAACTTCCTTGACGTGTAATTGAGCAGTATGCTTAGCATTCACAGATCATTTGAATTTCAAGTTGGATGTCGACTATCACTGCTTTAATTGCATAATTATCAAATGTCAAAATTATAGTAAAGGCAATTTAATATTAATCTTGGTGCGTTTCAGTTCTAAATGTTTCTAATTAAAAAGTCACAGTGGGAATATGTCTAGACACGATAGAGTCATGGCAACGTCCAAAGAATTACTGAAAATGGTACTGTCAGATTTTGCCAAATAAAAAAGATGTAATGGATCTAAAAACAGTTATCCAATCTTCACATTGCAATCTCTCCATCGATAATAAAATAAGGTTGTTTGAAGTATCATTTTTCACTTTGATCTAGTTATTATTCAAACATTATGTGTGGCAGATACTTGCTCTGGGGGACTTGTGACAACTCAGTTCCAAAAACAGCCACAACTTTATCATCTGAAATCCCTCACAAGACTCTTCCTAAAGCTAGTTATTTCCCTGGACTGTGTCACACACTATCTCTTCCCTTGGGCCAGTTTTTCTTTCCCAAGAAATGCACTAAGTAAGAAGAGGCAGCCGCGAGACAAACCATGGAGCCCCATGCCAGAGCCGGTCTGAGTGATGAGAGAGAGTGGGATTACCTGAGGTAGAGCTGCGAGTCACTGGACACAATGCTCCGGATCTTTATCAACACGTTCAAGCTGCACCATGTGTTGGCCACCTTATCCTGCACACAAGACCACTGACTTTTAGACTGGAAAAATAATACTAACTCTTAATCTATGTATGACATACAACAGTATGTTCTTTTTTTTTTTTTGACTAATTATTGTCTTTATCATTTGTCCATTTTAAGCCCAGGAAAATGGACAGACAACAAATCAGACAAATGTATAAATAACATCACACTGATCAAAGACAGCATGAACAGCCTCATAATGTGAATCATTTAATTAGCCATATAGCAATATTATCCATCAAAATCCTTTTTATTCAATATTCATTTTAATTGAAAAATTCGTATAATAATGCATCGGTTTTATACAGCGCTTTTCAGGAAACTCAAAGACGCTTCAGATGTCATTATTCATTCACTCCATTCATGGTGATAATAAACTACTACTGTAGCCACAGCTGCCCTGGTGCACACCGTCACCAACCCTTCACACACACACACATTTTTTTAATGAATAATGAAAACACTAATTCAATCCACATTTCAACTTGTTTCATTAGAGCTAGTTCTGTCATGTTTACCATTGTTTTGAAAGTTTATTGGCACTTTTACCACATGAAATCTTAGCTGCACGGTAATAACCCGCCATCAGACTAGTGTCAGAAAAAGCACAAGACTTATTTGTAAACTTGGGGACAGAAGGTCAAGTGTCAGCCCCGAGATGTCTTTGCACACTTAGCACATAGTGACCAACCACAGAGTACATCTTATTAAGCAGCTGAAACCAATAAATCACCCTCGTAGTGAGGCTTGGATTGGGAGACTTAATTATTCTCTGTCATCTGTATAATTTGTATTCCAATAAACGAGTGTTCTCACAATATAATTTATGTTGGTTTTAAGTTGTAAATAATTGAAAATCTAATGTACAAGATTTCTGAATGATGGGATGCCAGTGTGAGCTCAGACGAAGAGGATACTGCGCTGCCTGGTTGATTTAAGAGCTTAAATATTTGTGCCGGGATCAGATGATGTTGAGGTCTAAGCCATCGCTGTGAAACCCGGATCATGTGTCAAAACGGCGGGCGAACTTTCATTCAATATATTACCACCTAACATTTAAAAGATTACATGTGCTTCTCATTGATTCCTCTGGATTAAAGAAAATAATACCAAGAAATATACATGTATACATGTACTTAAATAAAAAAACATCTAAATCCACTGAAAACTTTACAAAAACTGAATTACTTTAAGGTTTGTTTCCCCATTGGCAGATGATGGTGGGTCCTGACTCCTGACACTGTTCCAGTTGAGAACCTCTGGTCAGGAGTCTGCGGTCTCTAGATTTGAACCTTTTGTTAAAAAAATGACTAATCAAAAAGGTTGTTGCGGAGTAATATAATCCTTAGTGACAGCTCTAACCATAGTCAAAAACAGGTCTATACAATAAAAATTAACTTTATAGATAAATGTGTAGAGGCTTAAAAGCGTTTACTTGTTATAAGACAACTTGCATGTCTCATGACAAGGCTTTTCTAAAAACATTTTGGTAAAAACAATTCTAGTTTGATTCTCTAATCTGTTGGTGAGTCGGCAACCTTGTAGAGTCCTATGACTTTTAAAAAATATATATTATTATAGAAAAAAAAGCCGCCTTTGAGTATTTGCAGGTGTCAAAAGTCAGATTCTAAAAGTATGACATTTGAAATAACTTTAGCAGTGAGTCGATACAAAAAATAGGGATGAGGGGAAATGTGATTTTTTATGTAGTTATCAGAACGAGTGTAACAAAGTGGTATAAGAACCATAAAAGATGTTTCATAATTGATGTATTTGTTAGTTTGGAGGATACCCTAGAGTTTTTCAGGGGGTCCTAAAATTAGGTATTTATTTAGATTTATTATTAGCAGCAAAATAATGTTTGAAATGTATCATGACAACACCAGTAATAACCACCATCCAGTTCATCCTGATAGTTTGTCTCTGGCTTTAGAATGTCTCCCCGTGCAGAAAGCCTATATCCGCCGCTCTTTTCTCTACGTACTACAGCTGCTCTCATCACAGCTGTGTGGATCCTCATGGCAGCCTACTCAGCACTCCAGACCCTGTGTTGTCCCGGTCCCAGCCCGATCCTACCTTCTCTCTTTTCCCTGCTCCAAATAACCACTATGGGAATGTTCCTGGACGTCGTCTAAAAGGCAACACATGTACGTAAGGGAAGGAGGGGGCTTGAGGGGTCCTGGTAAGCATATGCAGGGCAGGGGGTACCTCACCTATGCTAAGAGCTTGCATGGAATTTCACAGCGAGATGCATTTGGTGCCATTTTTGTGAGCAGGCGGCAATGTGAGACGACAGAATGCAGCTCAGTGGGTAAACTTACAACCGCTTCCTCCCACTAACGGCTCGGACCACCAGTCACCGGCCTGTTCCACGCAGCAGCAGCCCATTTTCACCCCTCGCCCCCTTCTCCACATCCAGAACCCAAAGCATGAACAAAAAAACAAATAGCTTAGGCCTTAGGGCAAGAACAAACAAACTCGGGTGCAGCTATTGATCATTGTAGTAAAGTATTCTAATGATTGACAATTGTTAGTTTAAATCACCTTGAACATATTGACATATTTCAAACTTACTGTAAAATAACTATTCAGAGAAGTGGTGCCACCTGAAGCATTATATCCCATTATCTTCCTTTGTTATATTTAAGCAGCATATATAAATTGAAGGGCCACAATCATAAAGTCAATGCTCTGCCCATATATCCCCTGCTTACGGACACCCTTTCGTAATAAGCTTAAGCCCAGTGCTGTCATCAGAGGCGGGTGTAGTGTCTCTCGCACCCCGTGTCTTATGTTTGCATCATTTAGTTGAACAAATACGGCCTTCTGCCACATGGCCACTCTTCTCTCTGAGCCATTTCCAATTACTTCTCACATCCACTAAGGGCACTGCCTCAGGGGGCATGAAACAAGACGGGTTACAGAGTTTCAGAACCCAACGAAGGCATCCCAGTCGTCTGTCACAGGTCCATAGACAGAAACGGACACAGTTACTCCACCGCCGCCTCCCACAACACGGGAGCTTTCAACACGGCCGCCTGCAAAAGTGTCTGAAGTTCTTTCCTCACGTCGCAGAGCTTTTAATTAATATCATATTGCACTAAGCCACTTTCTATTGGGGGCAGTGACGGACAGCTTGGGGCATTAAGAGGTGCGCATGTGCCAGAGTGAGGGGAGAACACATACTACACGCCTGTGTCAACGCGGTAGCCGGTTACAGACAGCAGTTGTCGGATGTGCTCTGATATGCTTCAAGTATAGGGTCATCAGTCCTTATGGCAAGAACATGGCTGCGCTATGAAGTGCTGAAAATACATAGGTCATAAATTAGTGGGATTTATCTTTATCCTGCACCAGCCTAAAAACCCAACACCTCCTAGAGATAGAGCGAAACTCATCTCCTGACCTTTCTCCATTTTATTTATCCGTTTTCTTTGATCCTTCTCTCCCAATTGAAAAAGCCCTGCAAGTAGAGCCAACGCTGTTTGACACCAATCCTTTGGGGTTTTTTGGTCCACGGTTCACATTTTATTTTATTTAAAACAATGATTATACTCCAGACTCTGATAATAAATAGTGCCGTTCTGCTACACTTTGTTTTTATCTCAGCCCAGCATCTTATAACAAAGATATCACCACATTATGAAAATAAAGCTGCCATTTAGATAGAGCTTTTAAAGTCATACTTTTGGTCATGCACCATAGAGTGCTCTTATTAAAGATGACATGCTCTAATCATATCCTGAGGACAGTCGTCATTATGCACTTGAGTTTTGATCGATGTTTACACTTTGAACTGAGAGCTGTCTGTTCCAAGCGCCTATAGAGCCGTTCTAAATGTCAAGACCACACACACAGAAACCCAACTCTAAAGCACGAACTCCAAGCTTTGGAGTACAAAAAGGCAAAACAGTACCTCAATGAATTAAAAGAAACATTTCATTAAATTCCCATAGCAATACTAGAGGCTTATTGCATCAAAATACCATACATATTTAACCTAATTTTATACTGTGGCATTTTGTCTCTCAGAACATTTGATTAGTGTAATAAAAGTCACACTGGTTCATATGTTTTACCTCACATTAAGGTCAAGTATAAATCTTATCTGCTATCCCTGCTTTCCCTATAGTCTCAGCTTTTCTACTGAGGTCATCCACACTCATTTGTTTCTAAAAAAACATTTCAAAAGAACAACCTTTCTAAGAGATCAGAGAGCATCCTTTTTGGCAAGCCAGTGCCATGGGCCAAAAGTCTCTGATGTGGTGTTCCCAATGACCTCCCCATTCATAAAAACTGTACCTCAAACAGGCCGCGAGCCACAGGAAATATTCTTCTGAGCACCTGCAAGGCCTGGCTGGGATCAGACAAGAAGGGCAGCCAACACAGAGCAAGAGTCAGTAGCACTGTAACGCTGATTCTCACCAACAAGAACAACCTGTACACAGAGAAACGAAAGTAAGAGATATCTACTATTACTTCTTAAAATACGTCATAACAGTCAGTAAAGAGTTTTCAGCTAGATCTAATTTTGGGGCGTTGACCCTTGTGGAGAGGAATGCAGTGAAAGCAATGCATCAGCTGAAAGTCTTTAGCGTGAGCCAGGGTATCTTGTCAGCTGTAACTATGAAGCTGCTGGTGAAGTTGCACACACAGGCATAGCTGAGGAGTTTGGCCAATGTGAGAGTGTCATCTGGGCATATCTTCCCCTGCCCATCTAATCCAGCGCTGCATTTGCTACTAAATGCCCTTGGTACATTGTTACTAGATAAACAGACAGTGATTCTGTGGCTTGCCTGAGGACAGGGCCTTCTTCTGGCATTACATATTGAGGGGCAGCATTCTTTGTAGGTGTAGAGTGACAAAACAGCATGGCTGGCACATAATGGATTTTTATAGGCTGATATAATGATAGTTGAGCAGGAACAATTTGCCACCCGATTAAGGAGAAATATCTTATAACACTTCAACAATCGTAAACAATATTTCAAACTAAAAAAGGCTCGACATGAACCAAGACTGACATCGCAACAGTCAGAACTAACAAGTCAGACATAAACAGCATGTGTGACTGTCAGTTTCTATAACAGTGTTCTCATGCTCATTAAGACTCACTGTTGTACGCATAATGTTATAAAAATGGTTCTGCCACGCCCCTTTTTGCTTAATCATTGAAAAATACAGCACTTCCATTGCATTGACACATCCGGTTTGATAAGAATCCCATTCATTTCTATCGAGAATGTTAGATTTGTGTACAATGTTCACTGTGTGGCTTGACAACTGCTGTATAGTCATTGAACATTGAAGGACCAAAACTAACTAATACAGTACAATCAAGATCAAAACGGTGGCGCCGCGGGAAACTGACTTCATGACAATAAACAAGCAAACTTTTGAATCATCACCATTGAAAACGATAACATCTGAACTCTGAACGCTGCTCCTAACCACATACTGTTTGATTGTCGACCTATCGGTAAATATTTATAACTGATTCAAAATGATTTATCTCCATGACATTTAATACTTTGCTTCTTATACACAAACTGTTTTAAGGCTGTTTTTACATATAAATGAACTGGGAAAGAAAATGTATACATTTTCTCCAATCCACTCCAATACCATGGGGATACAGTTGAGCACAATTGCAAGCTTACCCTTTCCACACGCTTTCTTGTTTGAAACACTTTCCCAGCAGGTAGCAGAAAAAAGGAAGTGCGTGGTAAAGTTCCATCTGTTTGTAGCTTAGAGCCAGACAGAAGAACATGGAGCCCAGAGCATCCCAACCCAGACCCAAAGCCAGAACAGCCAACAAGGCCAAACCCAGGCTCACCCCGTTGTACCTTGACACAGTTAAGGTCAAACAAAGACAACAGGGGAATTTTTTTGGAAAAAAACAAACCGCTATCTAAATAAAGGATACTGGAAATGCCCATAGTCTATCAGAATCAGGCCGGGATACAGCAGAGTGCACAGGAGAACAGAGGTCTGGGAAAAAGAAAGGTGAGATGTTACTAGCATTTATTGATTGATGAGAAATGGCAAAAAGACACAATGTATTCATATACGATCAATTTGTTCATTACTCTCACCTTTTTACGTGGAGAGCCATCGCCGAGACACATACAGTACAAGACCACAGCAGGAAGGTAAATCAAAAGGTCCGCCACCAACACTGCAATGGAAACATTACATCGCATTTGTAACAGTTTTGAGAGTTCAACAAATCACAGTATTACTAACCTGTTGCTCTCATGAACAACTTGTGGGCATCACTCTCATAGCCTCTGGATTTGTGGAGCTCCACCCACTCTGGGTTTATTGCCTTGGCTCTATCAAAACACAAAACTTAGATCATTGATCACTCACACACTGTCAGTGCTATGACATCATATGAGAAATGAGAATCATCTTTGTTAATCACTGTAGCTCACGTATTATATAATGAATTGTATTTAATTAATTTAAAAGTACTGTATGTATTAAAGAATGAATACATAAGAGTTTTGTGGCTAATTTCCATCTGTATTGAAAACAACAAACACAAACTGATTCACCCACTCATTCAACCCTCCAAATTTTAGTGGTAGGGGAAACCAGAGCACCTGTAGGGAACCTACACAAATAGGGGGGACATGCAAACTCCATGAAGAAAGACCCCATCTCGAGGTGAAATCAAACACAGTACCTTCTTGCTGAGACAAGAAAGTGCTAGCGACTGCGCCACTGTGTGACCCACACGTTACATTATGATACATTAATGCTACAAATCACTTACACATGGGCACAGACAAGGCTGTGGTATGCTGTTAGAGGAGGATAGTCAAGCCCCCAATAATTCAAGTCATTGTCCGATGTGTTGAAATACCTACAAATATAAATAAAACATAAATAATCCAATGTTTGTGTGAAGAAGATCCCAGAAAACTTTAAATCGTCAATTACATTTTAAATTATTTACTTGCATTCATGGGTTTGAATCTAAGGAACAATAAATGTTTTGGAAAAGTCCCTAACCCCCTTTACCCTTTTATGATCCAATACCTTTTAAAAGTATGTATTTTCACCTCTCCATATGACAATATGGAATGTACTTTTAAACATATGGATGGTACTCTCTTTAACACTGTATACGTGCTGTGGACAGTTCGCAATGTCAACTAAAGTCATAACCCAATGAAAGCCTGACATAACATACAAAAACTACAAAGTGTAGTTTATCTAATGCGTTTAACTCAAATGATCTGAAAACACATCTAGAATATAATATTACAACAACATAAAAATATGAACAAAAGTAGTTATTAAGTAGAATGTGTGTCTTTTAAAATACAACAAAAACAATCTCCTCCAATACTTTTTGTTGTCCTATACAAGCCACCGCAGTCATGTCACAGTTTTATTGATAATTTTACAGAGTTGCTTTCAGTTGTATGCACAGATTTTGATAGTTTGGTTATTACAGGTGATTTTAATATTCATGTGGATAATGTTGATGACAGAAATGCTAAAGAGCTGAGTTCTGTTCTTGAATCTTTTGGTCTCACTCAGCATGTGAGTGGCCCCACCCACAGCAGAGGGCACACTCTAGACCTGTTAGTTACAAAGGGGGTGAACATTTCTAATGTAAACGTGGTCGATGTTGCGCTTTCGGATCATTTTTGTATATTTTTTGACATGTGTTTCACTAACAAACCACCAGTGGACTCTGCAACTGTACGAAGAAGACACATAAATGAAAATACGGGTGAACTATTTATGGGAATGATAAACTTTGAGAATGCATCGTATTCTACTATAGATTAACTGTTTAACTCTGTCACTTCTAGTGTTTTGAAAGTTCTGGACACCATCGCTCCTGTGAAGGTTAAAATAGTGAAAAATAAGCAGAAGGCGCCGTGGGCTAAAGCAGACTCGGTCAGGGCACAAAAGAGAGAGTGCCGGAGGGCCGAGCGTAAGTGGCACAAGTCCAACCTCCAGGTTGATTACAAGATCTTCAAAGATAAGTTGTGCGAGTTTAACCAGGTGCTACGTAGTACGAGAGAAAGGTATTTTTCTGAAATGATTGAAGGCTGCAGCAACAATCTGCGTGTTCTGTTTTCAACAGTTAATAGATTAACAAACCCCCCTGTTCAAATGCCATTAGAGCTAACTTCCAAACGTAAATGTAATGAGTTTGCACATTTTTTCAATGACAAGGTTCAAGGCATCAAAAACGCCATTGTCTCCAATCCACAGATAACAATCCAACAGCCAGAAAGGCTCTTTGAGCTAACTTACTTTGCACCTGTAAATGATCAAACTGTCCAAGAGATAATCTCCAGTTTGAGCTCCTCCACATGCAGCCTGGATGTACTACCCACTAGATTTCTAAAGTCTGTTCTGAGCAGTCTGTTACCTTCACTCACACAGATAGTAAACATGTCCCTTAATTCTGGAATATTCCCAAAGGCCCTGAAAACTGCAGTCATCAGGCCCCTGCTAAAAAAGAGCAGTCTGGATGCTACGGTACTCAACAACTATCGTCCCATCAAATCTGCCATTTATGGGGAAAGTCCTTGAAAAAGTTGTCTACCTACAGCTTACTAGATTTCTTATAATCAACAACTCATTTGATATGTTTCAGTCCGGCTTTAGACCCCACCACAGCACTGAGACTGCTCTCGTCAAGGTTACAAATGATATCCGGCTGAACACTGACGCAGGCAAAGTCTCAATCTTAATCTTGTTAAGATCTAAGTGCTGCCTTTGACACCGTCGACCATGAGATCCTCTTACAGAGACTAGAGGACTGGGTTGGCGTCGCTGGCACCGCCCTAAGTTGGTTTAGGTCTTACCTTGAAGACAGGAAGTACTTTGTGGCGATTGGAAACTGTGTCTCAGATCATATGGCCCTGACCTGTGGAGTCCCACAGGGGTCGATCCTGGGACCTCTTCTGTTCAATCTCTACATGCTGCCGTTAGGTCAGTTAATACGCAGAAACGAAGTTTCCTATCATAACTATGCAGACGACACTCAGATCTATGTCTCACTGACTGCAGGAGAACATGGACCAGTGGACTCACTCCTTCACTGTATCCAACAGATCAGTGAGTGGATGCAAAACAACTTCCTTCAGCTAAACGCAGACAAAACTGAAATGATTGTCTTTGGTCCCCAGAAACAAAGAGAGAGCGTCATCTGTCATCTACAGTCTCTCTCCCTAAAACCTTCAAACAAGGTCAGAAATCTAGGGGTAATACTGGACTCAGACTTAAATTTTAATAGCCCCATCAAATCAGTAACATCAGCAGCTTTTTACCATCTAAAAAACATTGCCAGGATCAAAAACATAGTGTCTAAAGCAGACTTGGAGATTCTTATCCATGCATTTGTCTCCAGTAGGTTAGACTACTGCAATGGCCTGCTCACAGGTCTGTCCAAACAGGCTGTAAAACAGCTGCAGTACATTCAAAATGCAGCAGCTCGAGTCCTGACTAGAACCAGGAAGTACGACCCCATTAGTCCAGTTCTCAGGTCTCTGCACTGGCTTCCTGTGGCTCAGAGAATAAGACTTTAAAACAGCTCTGCTTGTGTACAAGTCTCTCCATGGCCTCGCACCAAAATAATATTTAGTGACGATGGTTTCCATTCATGTTGGGATGCGGGGCTATAGATATAGGGATTTTCGGTCAAAAAATTAAATAGTAAACGTGTTACAAAAATGTAGTTTATATTTGTATTATCAATATTCTTTAATGTTGCAATTTATGATAATGCATTAGGCCTGCATTATGGCCTGAATGTTTAAAAATTAGTTTATCCTTTGGTTCTAAATATTTACGAAGGCTTTATTATAATATTATTTTTAAATTTGATTTAGTGGCAAGAAATTGACAAGCTCTAAAATGAAAAGGTGAGGTTCATTCCATGTCATTCTGCGTGAATTCGATTTGTCATAAATGGGCCTATATCTTAGCCATATGGCAATAACACATTTGACCCACATCAGCTATACAGTATTTGCTTAAAATCTCCACTTTCTCTGTTCCTTCTTTGTGCCATAGAAAAAACATTGCTTTGACATTGCACGGATTATGATTTGTGCCTGCGGTGTTGCGGTCAAAAATGACAAGAGAATTGTGAAAGTTACATTATTTATTTATTTATTGCATATTAGACAAGACGCCCTTTTTTCGCATCACGACCTTATAGCAGTGCACTTGTCCCTGCAGGTGACCCGGACCTTGGACCTTTGCGGAGAGGGAATGAAAGTAAAACAGGATGATCATCTGAGCTCCCTCTGTTCCCTGTCTCCCCCTGTCTCTCCCCTGTCTCCCCCTCCCTCTGAATCCACCAGAGCATCGCATTATTATGATCACAGTTATTTGTTGTGCGACCTTGTTGTAGTTTGCTCCGATCATCACGCGCTGACTGTTCCCCAGCTCTGCCTCTTTTCCAATTTCTGCCCATCTGTCCGTGTTACCTGTCTGTCTCCTAATGGTGTCATGCTGAAGCGACCAGGCTTATTATACTGAAAGGGTTTTTGTCGCGCTAAGCCTTGCATGTGTGCTTAAAACGTACATTTCATTAACAAACTGCAGCGGTATAAAAGCGGATTTATGAGGCTTCAAAAGATCACAGGAAGGACGGCGTTTTGAAAAAGTCTCCCCCCCTCCCTGCTCTCTCTTTCGTCTTGCTCTTCATCCCGTTCTTGCTGTTGCTGTGGTGCAGGTTACAGAAGCAGTCTTTCACACATAGCGCTGCAACCATGGGGTCTGTGAAAGGCGAGGGTCTCCACTTGCCCTATAAATAAAAAGAACGTATTGTAATTAAGGCACAAACGTGAGGAAAAGAATGTGATTTTAAAGGTGGTTGTTTTCTTAAAATACATACATTGAAATGCAAGAAATAACATGGTTTATGCCGTGCGTAAAAATGGTTTTACGCACGGCATATTGGAATACAGACAATAAATAGATAAATAATGCCCATGACATCAAATATAACAATAAATATCAGCTCATCCAAAATCAATCCAGATGCGCGCGTGCTGTTAGGTGCGCGCTTTGACAGAGGTCCAGATCACACGGGTCAGTGAGATAAACGCGACACACGCAGTCCAGGTTATTATGACCGTCTGAAAGAGCGGCCCGTCTACACCAGACCAGAGTGTTATTAATGACAGCGTGGGATTCAAACCCATTTTACAACAAGGCAGAGAAGAGACCGGTGCAATAATTATAGTTTACCAATTAATAAGACACAAGAAGCGAAATAAATGCAAGAGAAAAAATGTTTTGGCAAAATATACAGTAATCTTGCGGTTGAAAAAAAATACCTATTGGACCATAATAATGCTAATATTTATTGGGATAGACGTAATTTTTGTTCATGCCTAGAACAAAAGTCAACGCCGTTTTTAATATGTCTGATTAGGCTTGTTGTATTTAATTTTTCACGGGCCTTTTTAAAATGCATTGTAATTGTTTGGCCTTCAGAATATTTAAATCAATTCATATATTTAATTCACAAAACGTTGTGCAGAAAACCCATGAGAACCATATAGATATTTTCATTAACCTGCTAAATGACTTCCAATATAATCAATAAATGCTTTAAACACCTCCGCGTCTATGACTAAATCCATCCTGTTTCGCTTTGCATTATTCTAGTGAATTAAATATAATTATATTCAAATTGTTTTGCTAACGTTAGTGCAAGCGAGTGTTATTTGGGTCAGATATTCCCACACTGCGCGGACACTCACCTTTCCTTTAGCTCGTGCATAAGAAACGCTCTCTTTGCATTCACCCGCTGCCGCATTTCCTACTTGATTCAAATGCAAACACATGCAATAATCGGGTCGTTGGCACCTCTTCCAAACTCTAAAGGCATTTCTTTATACTTCATTCATTGTCCCTTCTGTTTCTGCTGCGTCCTTGGGCTAATCCTGTGCGAATAAATAGACGTGAATCAACTGTTTTGCATTTGGCAAGAATGGCCTTACAGGAAACACGACAACACGCACAAGAAAGGACTAAACAAACAAACTTTACAAAGATATATTAATGAGGAGTAAATCATGCAGAAACGTACCGAGGCTCTCTCAACTTTCTCCGATGTTTACTGCCTTCTTGAAAAGCTGTGGTTGTTTTTACGCGCCGGAGTTAACGCGCATTAGATTTTTCAATCAGCAAATTTCTCCCCCTCCTTCTTCTCCCCGCGCCACCGTTAAATGGTCTATGAGGGGCGAACCCCGAAATGAGCGCAAAGCAACACTGCTGATGTCCCATTGTTGACAAATCCATGAAACAACTCCAGTTTGCATGGTTTCACAGCGAGAGGTAGAGGCAGTGGGAAGGCAGGACACATGGTGAGGAGGGAGGGAGAGAGGGGAAAGGGGCGTCTGTCGTCATCACACCACGTGTCTAGCGCAGATACTATATCTTATCCTGAAAGAGGGGAAAGTAATCTATCAGACAGTCTCCTTTAAAAGCTTTAAAAGCATGTGTCACCTCCACTCGATTCTCCGAATATTACTCGTGCAGTAGCGGGATATATTCACACTCACGCGGCGCTGTGGTCACAACGAGAGACTTCCCACAAAGTCAACAACAAGTCCCAGACGAGACGACTGCGTCTTTACGCACGGGAGAAATAGGCTACATTTTTGGCTTTCGGAATAGAGACATTTTCCGAACGAGTCAGTCCCTCGTCCCACGCTGTATTCTGCCTCCGGTACCTCCTTGTGCTTTGATTCGACTTTTCTCAACTGCGCGTAAAGTCAACTGTGAGATGACCCTGTCTGGAGGCAGTGAACGAGCCAGCGACATGTCCGGCCAGACCGTGCTCACAGCAGATGATGTGGACATCGATGTAGTGGGCGAAGGGGACGACGAGATGCTCCTGGAGCGAGTGGACAGTGAGTGCGACAGTCCCGTGGGCAGAGGAGCGGAGGAGGACGAGGATGACGATGAGATTGAAGTGGACAAGGACGACATGAGGTCTGGAGGAGTCAGTCCATGCTGTGAGAGTTCAGGAGAAGGGGAAGTGAGCGGGAAATCAGAGGAGCAGAACTCAGGCTCTATCCAGAAGCCCAAAAGCAGCTTGGTGAAGCCCCCGTATTCCTACATTGCCCTCATCACGATGTCCATCCTGCAAAGCCCGCAGAAGAAGCTCACTCTCAGCGGCATCTGTGAGTTCATCAGTAACCGCTTCCCTTATTACCGAGAGAAGTTCCCGGCGTGGCAGAACTCCATCCGCCACAACCTGTCCCTCAACGACTGCTTCGTCAAAATACCCCGGGAGCCTGGCAACCCCGGCAAGGGCAACTACTGGACCCTGGACCCGGCCTCCGAGGACATGTTTGACAATGGCAGCTTTCTGAGGAGGAGGAAGCGCTTCAAGAGAGTTCAGCCCGACATGCTCCGGGATCAGACCGCGCTGATGATGCAGAGCTTTGGCGCCTATAGTTTAGGAGGCCCCTACGGCAGACACTACGGCATCCACCCCGTCACATACCCGCACCCAGCGGCCCTGCAGTACCCCTACATCCCTCCCGTCGGGCACATGCTTCCTCCGGGCGTCCCGCTGTTGCCCTCCTCAGAACTGAACCGGAAAGCCTTTGGTCCCAGTCTGCAGCTCGCACAGCAACTCAACAGCCTGAGCACCGCGTCCATGATCAAGTCCGAGCCCTCAGCCAGGCCGTCCTTCAGTATAGAAAACATCATTGGTGTGTCCAGCTCATCGTCCACGGCAGCGTTCCTGCGGCCTCCCGTGACAGTGCAGTCGGCCCTGTTGAGCGCGCAGTCTCTCTCTTTGACACGGACCTCAGCAGCAATCGCACCTCTCCTCAGCGTCCCGTCAAATATCATCTCTGGACACGTTCTACCATCAGCCACGGCCGCTGCGGTGTCCAAATGGTCTTCACACTGACTTTAACCTCAGCCTAAAAAAAACTTTTTATTTTTATAAGACATTATTATATTAAAGGAGGAAGAGTGAACAAATGCACAAACCACTGGCAGCACTGCGCTCTGTGGCCATGTAGGCTAAAGACAGTTGAAACAGAGGCTTATGAAGGATATTTCTGTACAGGTAATATTTGTAAATATTTGTAAAGTGATCAAAGAGATTCGTTTGGCTTTGTCTTTTCTGTTCTGTTTATGTGGACGTTTGTTTTTGTATCAGGAGATTCACTTTCATATCACAGCCAGCACTGACAAATCCCTGACGTGTTTATAGGAAATAAACAAGACAATAACTAAATAGGCCTAAATAAATAAATGTCATTCTATGTAGTGTAAATGTGTTGTAAACTGAAATTTATTTGTAAATAAATTTGAAAACATAAATATTGTAAGTAACTTGCTTTTTTCCTATATGTGTGTCCTTGGAGAAAATGCCTATACAAAAAAAGCTATACTGATAATTTGATTGTAATAATTATGATAATAACGGAAATTCCAAATACTATGTTATAAGATTTAATTAAATGTTTATTGCCATAAAATTCAATATCCATTTCTTTTTTTCTTTTCTTTTTACGAAATGTTATTTCTTAGGCATTTGATCATTTTGGTTTTAGCATTTTTATTTATTTTGTATTTAACATTTTAGATCCACATTTTTTAAGGTGCTATAATAGGGATTTGATTTTTTTTTTATCTCATTGATCGGACATAAAGAAAACAGCAAGAAAAAGTGTGACAGAAATCATATAAGCATGCGCCATTTCAGATTTGAGCAGGTGCAAAGGCTAAAGGGTATTTTGATGGACGCTTTGTTATTATAATTGAAGTTCATCTAATTTATTTAAACCTAACCTAGTCTCTGTAATCTGTAATTGTTTTAAATTAGAGGTTGTTTTCATTGCGCTCAAATGGAGGTCATATTTCGGCCCTTTTCTTTTCCCATTACATCAGTGCTCATGGTGTAGTTTTACAGGATTTTCTGCGGCTTGGCTTCTATAAAGGTAACAGTTTCGCAGTTGTGTCTGGCTAATCACTTTTACACAAACAGCAAATGGTGATCGGGCTGGAGGGCGCAACTGTGTGGGTCTGCGGGCGTGCGGGGAGGGGGGTCCACACACGAGCTATATTTAACTGATCCCCATGGGAAAGAGAAAGACGCGTCTCTCTCTGCTTCAATTCACCGCAGACACCCAAGAAGGTGCTGATGATGCAAAAGGATGCTCCAATGTCGCCCGCGGAATTTCCGAGCCTGACTTCATTCATTATCGATCTAATTTTTTCGGCCCGATCATCGTCAAGCTCTTCAGGGGAGGGCGCACTCTCAGAACAACAATATTAATGATAATGACTACTACTACTACTAATATTATTAATAATGGTTAATAATAATAATAATAATAATAATAATAATACAATTAAAAATAATAATAATACAATAATAATAATAATCCTAAATTGAATCTTGTGAGTTAAATATTGTGACACATAACAAATTGTAAACACTAAACCAAATGCAGGGTGATAAAAAAGACACGGCAATTATAACCAACAATTTTTCGGTTTTTCGTTCTGTAAAAATGTTTTAAGTAATTATTTTTCTACCTGTAATTAGGAAGTCTCGTGCACGTGCACCGGTGGCAGTATGTCCGAATTAAAACCAAAAGAAAAGGAACGCACTCATTTGGTATCAACTTGCCAACTTGAGAAAGATAAGAAGAAAAGACTTCAAACAATAGGCCTAAATAAAATCTGTCAGCTCGTCCGCACAAATCAAAAACAGGTTGAGACGCGCGTTTTGGGGCGAAACCAATTGGGTTATGCACTGTGCAAATCTCATCCATTCACCTGATTAACTAATTAGGGCTTTATAATAAGTGCCACAATTATCTGTGACTTATATATGGAAAAGGCCATGCGCAAAAAGAGCACACGAGTTGTCTGATGATCAATACAAATGTTGCTGAGTACCTGCAGGTGATATATTCAGCATACTATTTAACGATGAAAAATTAAAAGTAGCAAATAACAATGTACAGACTATCACCTTCAAATAGGCCGATACGCGTATGGTAAACCTTGATTTTGTTTCTGAAAATCTACCAATGACAAGGCCCAAGTCCCCACAATAACCAGGTCATCCTCCTCCACCAGCTATAACCTTCTCTGGTGCAGACAGTAAATGTAGGTACAGCAGTTATTGAATATTTAAAAAGGCATAGAGATGAAGCAATAAATGACAAAGTAAAGCTGGCGTGGTCATGCATTAATAACTAATGTGTAGCAGTGAGTTATAGGCTGTTCCCATTGTAATGAAAGTGTCAGTGCAAATCAGCAGTTGTCCGAGGATATTATTATTTATGCATAATTGATACCAGAACCACAAGGAGCGTGTCTTAGCCAACAAATCCACACCACCTTGAGAGCAAAGACGTTGGTGTGAACAGAAGTAAAGGTCACTGTGAGAGTATGCCCCATGGGCCCACATTACATTTGTGAGCAAGAGTCAAGATGGACGTTGTAAAACATGCACGCATATATGCAAGACGACCGCAAACACAGAGCAGATATTGCCTATATGGGTGTAAATAATTAGCAGGGCTGCAATGTACTAATTGAATATTATCATAAAAAACAACAAGCAAACAAATGTTTTATTATTGTGGCAACAACTAACAATCAACAAGACAATCTCTATATTTCCACAAACATACATAAATACATACATACATCATATGCACATACATAAATACAAACATACCCCCTATACATACACACATCGCTTTCCCCTTATCCAGTGAATTAATTTAGGTAAATTCAAGCAAACACAGTTCAGAAAAATACATTATTGGTTCCTATTGTAATCTATAAACTAGTGTCTTAAGTTATTATATATTTATATGTATATATATTGTTACTTTTGACGTGCATAAATAAACTCTGTCGTGTTATATACATGAAGTGGATTTCGATTTGGATTATTCCCCTTAAACGCAGCATCGGTTACGTCACAACCCGTAGCCAATCGGATTCCGCTACGATGCATCTGTGCGGAAGAAATACAGGAAGTGTGTTCTTATCCCGAGCGAGATTCATTCAACACTCGAGACTTTATTTTTCATCCCATAAATAGTGTGTTTTCTCGAATCGTGCCATGCAAACGTGGAGTCTTGTAACATTGTGTGTATTACTGGGACTTACAGTGCGATGGGGCGTTTCTTTAAATTCTTATTCCGGTAAGAAATATGTTGTTTTGATCTTGATGTATGTCGAAGTGCAGGTTAGCCCTGTGATTTCATAATACACAAATATGCTTACAAGCTTTTCCAGTCGTGCTTTTGATATTGTGCTACACATTTGACAGCTACAAACTAAAGAGAGTCGAGTTTCAGTCATTTCATGTTTATATTTTCCCCAGGCTCTGCAAAACCTCCCATGTTTGGAGATTATGAAGCACAAAGACACTGGCAAGAAGTGACTTACAATCTTCCTCTTCAGCAATGGTCAGTCAAAGGCTTCTTCGCAGTAAATCTGCCTTTTGCGATGTTTTTATCTGCCCCATTCCTTGAAGTGTATTTATTGCCTCTTTTTGGGTTTATTGGAACGTCTTTGAAAGAGGACATTTTTCCCAAAAATAGTAAACAGGAAGTGTTGAGAAGTAATTTTCCCCTACTGTTTCTGAGTAACTATTTAAAGTGTAGTTACTTAACAAACAAATAACACAAATAAATCTGTATTGTTTCAAAAAGAATGATTTACATTGAAAGTTATTAAAACGTTTGTGGTGTATGTGAGTTTTACACATCAACCAATGTTGTTTATGCTACACCCAGTATGTTGTGTCTTTTAATATTATTCAAATTAGGAAGAAAGCTGTAGCCTCAGAATTCAACCCTCTCTGTATTCCAAGTATTCAGAATACAGTAATCTGAGTAAACCATGTCACAGAGTATTAAATATGATAATGTATTATATGCATTTGCAAATTATTCCCCAGCACTGAAAAGTGTATGCTTACATCGAGATAATACTGTATATTTTTTGTACATAATAATTCAGAGAACCCTTATTTCTGTTAAAACAAAAACAAAAAGCAATTCCGCACTGCGCAGAATAAGGCAAGGCAAGGCAAGGCAAGGCAAGTTTATTTGTATAGCACAATTCATACACAAGGCAACTCAAAGTGCTGAACAAGATAGCATTAAAATCATAAATAATCACAGAACATTAAAACGAAAGATAAAAATATAAAATCCCTCAGTTGTATGCACAGCTAAACAGCACCGTTTTTAACTTGGTTTTAAACATTGTCAGAGAGGAGGCCTGTCTCACATCTTCAGGAAGATTGTTCCAGATTTTAGCAGCATGAATCTGAAAAGCAGCTTCCACATGTTTAGTTCTGACTCTGGGCACTAACAGGAGTCCAGTCCCTGTGCTCCTCAGAGTCCGGGCTGGTTCATATGGGACTAACATGTCACTAATATATTTTGGTGCGAGGCCATGGAGAGACTTGTACACAAGCAGAGCTGTTTTAAAGTCTATTCTCTGAGCCACAGGAAGCCAGTGCAGAGACCTGAGAACTGGACTAATGGGGTCGTACTTCCTGGTTCTAGTCAGGACTCGAGCTGCTGCATTTTGAATGTACTGCAGCTGTTTTACAGCCTGTTTGGACAGACCTGTGAGCAGGCCATTGCAGTAGTCTAACCTACTGGAGACAAATGCATGGATAAGAATCTCCAAGTCTGCTTTAGACACTATGTTTTTGATCCTGGCAATGTTTTTTAGATGGTAAAAAGCTGCTGATGTTACTGATTTGATGTGGCTATTAAAATTTAAGTCTGAGTCCAGTATTACCCCTAGATTTCTGACCTTGTTTGAAGGTTTTAGGGAGAGAGACTGTAGATGACAGATGACGCTCTCTCTTTGTTTCTGGGGACCAAAGACAATCATTTCAGTTTTGTCTGC